ATGTTTTTATTGAAAAGGTTTTTAGTCAATAAAAAAGGTTTTTAAATGACTTCTCCTGTATTCGGTAAGAAAAAGAAAGAAGCATAATTTTGGTGCTGTTTCTTCATTGTCTGAGACCCAAAAAGTTGATCTGGGAAATAAAAGGGATTGATAAGATGTGTAGATCCTTTGAGGCAACTGGATGATGACATAAAAATATTCGTGCTTTTCACTTCTAAACTCCTCTCCCATATCTTAGTTTTGTCAGCAACTAAATTTGATGCTTTCTTTTTATTATTTAATTAGTTAATTTTTGTGCGGGACCTGGGGTTTGAACTCAGGGCCTAGGCGCTATCCCTGACTTTTTACTCAAGGCTGGTGCTCTACCACTTGAGCCACAGTTCCACTTCTGGCTTTTTGGTAGATAATTGCAGGTAAGAATCTCACAAGCAAGAAGGACTGTCATTGAACCATGATCCTCAGATCTTAGCCTCCTGAGTGGCTAGGTTTACAGGTGCAAGCCACTGGCACCTGATTTCTTATTGCTTTAGATAAAAAGGCATCTATCTAAGACATGGCTCAACCAACTATTTAAAATTAAAACTTACATCTTCCCATAAAAAAGCCCTGTGTCGTCTTCTGTTATTGGTATTCATTCTTGGATTGCCAAGTATGAAATAACCAGTGACCCATGGTAAGTTTCATATCACTCCATTCCTTTTTAGGAAGTGCTTAAAATTCTTTTTAGCCAGGGAATACAATTTATGAACATTGCTTGATGCTGTAGAAATAGGAAGAAGAATAAGCTATGCCTCCTGCCTTTTAGTTTTGACCAATGGCAGGGAAAATAAAATTTCAAATTGAAGTGTGGTTCCTTAGTTAGGCTGTTCCTTAGTTAGGAGAGAGTGCCTCTAAGGTCCTGAGTCCAGACCACAGTACTACCAAAAAAGAAGTGCTATTACATATGCGAAAATGCCACATAAAATATAGTCATGTTGGGGCTAAGAAAGCGGCATAGTGGTAGAGTGCTTGCCTAGCATGCATGAAACCCTGGGCTCAATTCCTCAGTATCACATACACAGCAAAAGCTGGAAGTGGTGCTGTGGTTCAAGTGGTAGAGCGCTAGCCTTGAGCACAAGGAAGCTCAGGGATAGTACCCAGGCTCTGAGTTCAATCTCCAGGACTGGAAAAAGAAAGAAAGAAAAAAAGAAAGAAAGAAAGAGAGAGAAAGAGAGAAAGAAAGACAAGAAAGAAAGGAAGAGAAAAGAAAAGAAAAGATAGTCATGTTGCCTGGTCTGTAATTTTAGCTACCTGGGAGATTAGGAAGGTTGTGGTTTGAGGACAGCCTGGACAGATGTTTAAGACCCCTTCTCATCAATAATAGGTGCAAGTGGCACATGCCTGGTATCCAAGCTACATGGCAGGCTGAGATCAGGAGGATTGCAGTTCAAGGCCAACTTGGGCAGGAAGTCCTCGAGGTTCCATTTCAAATAAGAAGGTAGGCATGGTAGTGCATGCCTGTCATCCCTCTTATAACAAGCAGAAAATAGGCAAATTGTGCAGTACTAGTGCCTCCTGGACAAAAACCAAGACCTCATCTCAAAATAACCAGTGCAGGAAGGTCTTGACGCATGGCTCAGAAGTAGAGCTACTACCTACCTAGCAAACATGAGGCCTTGAGTTCATACCCCAGTACTGTCCCCACAAAAGAGTCGTGTTAATATTCTCATTGACTTTTTACTTGGCATTCTCTCAATTTGCCTTGTTACCTAGAACTAGCACCCCCACTGGACTGCAGCAGTGTGTTTTTGTTTTTGTTTTTGTCAGTTGTGGGGCTTGAACTCTGGGCCTGAGCGCTGTCCCTCAGCTCTTCAGCTCAAGGTGAACATTGTACCACTTGAGCCACAGCACCACTGGTTTTCTGGTGGTTCATTGGAGATACGAGTATCACAGTCTTTCCTGCCCGGGCTGGCTTTGAACCACGTTCCTCAGATCTCAGCCTCCTGAGTAGCTAGGATGACAGGTGCAGGGTTTTTTTTTTTTTTATTATTTGTATCTTATTTAGGCAGCAAACTTGTGGACTCTTACTCCTTAATTAATAGCATAAGAATTAATTAACACCTTTAACCTGAAGCCTCTATAATAACCCTGAGGATCAGTGATTTTATTCAGCTCTAGGATTCTGAGTGGTTGATTATGCAGTTTCAGAGACCCTCATACTCCTTTGTCCTCTTTTTCCTAGATGTCTTATCAGTATTAGAATGTGTGTCCTGGGCAGAGAAAACTTGTCTGTATTTTCTGTCCCAATATAGGCAGTGTGGGAGAGGAGTCTGAAATTGGAGTAGTTCTGATCCTTGAAATTTGGGATTACTGATATTTATGAATGCTGTGTTCCCTTTTATATCCCAGGTCAATCAAATGATTTTAATACCAGAAGCTACCCTTTTTCATGTATTCCATGTACTGAGCTAATTGCCCCAGTAGCTGTGGGGAATAATTTTCTAAGACTAAAATAATATGCAGGTTAAGCTCGGGGGTGTTTATTTAAAAACCTCCAGATCTCAAAAAGAATAAAAATAAGTGGTAATATATGGGACTTTGCATTTTAGGTGTACATTTGAGGTGATTATATATACTCTAGTGTTGAGAACCACTGGGTTAGGAAATGAGGTTGAGGTACAGACATCAAAATGCTGATACAATTATAAAGTCCATAAAGGAGTCCTTCTGTACGATTCTATTGCTTATTGCAGGTAAGTAGTCTTTCTTTGTCATTTAAAGAAAAGTTAGTAATTCTCTATCCAGTTGAGGCCTTTATTCTATGGGCAGCATATTATTCACTGGAGTTCATGATAGTAATACCAGTGTTAGCCAATGGAAGGGTCATTCCAGCCACGTGTGCAGAATTTATGATTTTATACTACCCACATTAACTGTTTGGTAAGGTACAGTTGAAAACTTTGTTGTTGGTGGTGGTGGTCGTGGGGCTTGAACTCAGGGTCTGTTGAACTCAGGCACTGTTCCTAAGGTCTTTTGTTCAAGGTTAGCTCTCTACCACTTTGAGTTGAGCCACAGAGCTACTTCCAGTTTTTGGGTGGTTAATTGGAGATAAGAGTCTTAAGGGGAATTTTCTGCTCTGGCTGGCTTCGAACCACAATACTCAGATTTTAGCTGGATGACAGGCGAGAATCACTGCCACCTGGCCACAGTTGAAATTTTAATAATAGTTTATCTAAAATATAATTTCATCATGAAATCACGAAAAGATTATTAACATTAAAATTGTTAATAAGGTATCAGATGCAGTTGACTTACACCTATAATCCTAGCTATTTCAGAAGGCTGAGATCTGAGAATCTCAGTTTGGACATAGCCCAGGCAAATAAACTCAAGAGACTTATCTCCAAATAACCCTCAAAAAAAAGTGGAGATAGCCGGGCACCAGTGGCTCACACTTGTAATCCTAGCTACTCAGGAGGCTGAGATGTGAGGATCACAGTTCAAAGCCAGCCCAGGCAGGAAACACCATGAGACTTTTTTTTTTTTAGGTCGGTCGTGGGGCTTGAACTCTGGGCTTGAGCGCTGTCCCTGCTCTCTTCAGCTCAAGGCGAGCACTCTACTGCTTAAGCCACAGCGCCACTTCCGGTTTTCCAGTGGTTTATTGGAGATCAGAGTCTTCTGACTTTCCTGCTTGGGCTGGCTTTGAACCACGATCCTCAGATCTCAGCCTCCTGAGTAGCTAGGATTACAGGCGTGAGCCACTGGCACCCGGCTGAAGGAGATGTGTGCTTTTTTTTTTGGGGGGGGGGGGTCAGTTGTGGGGCCTGAACTCTGGGCCTGGGCGCTGTCAGCTCAAGGCTAGCGCTCTACCACTTGAGCCACAGCGCCACTTCTGGATTTTTCTGCTTATGTGGTGCTGAGAAATCGAACCCAGGTCCTCATGTATGTGAGGCAAGCGCTCTACCACTGAGCACCTTCCCATGCGCACCCCCCCCCCCCACTGTCCCCCCCTTCTTCCCCGTGAGACTCTTATCTCCAATAAAGCACTAGAAAACCAGAAGTGGCACTATGGCTCAAGTGGTAGAGCGCTCGCCTTGAGTTGAAGAGCGCAAGGACAGCACCCAAGCTCAGAGTTCAAGCCCCATGACCAACAAAAAAAAAAGTGGAGATATTATTCAGGTAGTAGAGTGCCAGCCTTGAGCAAAAAAGCCAAGTGAGAGTGAGAAGTCCTGGGTTCAAGCCTCAGTACTGGCTTTAAAAGAAAAAATATGTATGTGTGTGTGTGTACATATCTACATATATATATACACCTGTATCTACATATGTAATTATATATGTATATATATAAAGTTCTTTTTTCTCTTATGTTCTCAAAACCTGATGTCACATCAGATAAAATGAGCCACATTTTAGTCCTTAGGGTTGTATGTGGCCAGTACATCATCAAGCACAAGGTACAGAAGCATTTATGCAGCCTGGGCAGTGAGGAGTAGAAAAACTAGCCAAATAAGGAGCGGATATAACTGGGAAGTGTTATCTTACTATCAGTTAATGGTTACTTTCCTGACTTCAGCTTCTTTAGAGGAAAAGCAAGTATTACTGGAGTAAATTAAGCTCAGTATCCATTTTTAGATTCTTTTAAGCATCTCAAAGTTGTAGAAATATGCCGAAGTTTGTAATTTTAAATTGGAGCTACCAGAATTGGGCTTAAGCCATTGTCACAGTGATTAATTCATAAACATTTATAAGTTAGGTCTGGGAAGGTGACTCAGTGGGAGAGTGCTTGCCTCACATGCATGGGGCCCTGGGTTCAATTCCTCAACACCACATAAGCAAAAAAAGCTGGAAGTGGCGTTGTGGCTCCAGTGGTAGAGTGCTAGCCTTCAGCTGAAGAGCTGAGGGACAGCGCCCAGGCCCAGAGAAACAAACATTAAGTTTGTAAAGATCTTCACTGTCAAAAGAAAGTTTATTGGTGATTTGTTATTTAAATGAACTTTTTTTCTTTGGACTGCTGTTAATAGGTGGCTACTGTGTCAGAAAAGTCTCGTATAATGGAACTAGAAAAAGACCTAGCATTGAGAGGACAGGAAGTAGCTGAGCTCCGAAGAAGGCTAGAGTCCAGTAAACCTGTTGGAGATGTGGATATGTCGCTGTCCCTTTTGCAAGAAATAAGCTCTTTGCAAGAAAAGTTAGAATCCACCCATACTGACCACCAGAAAGAAATAACTTCACTGAAGGATCATTTTGGATCTCGGGAAGAGACATTTCAGAAGGAAATAAAGGCTCTGCATGTAGCCACAGAGAAGCTTTCCAAAGAGAATGAGTCCTTGAGAAGCAAGCTTGACCATGCTAACAAGGAGAACTCAGATGTGATAGCTCTGTGGAAGTCTAAGCTGGAAACCGCCATCGCATCCCACCAGCAGGCAATGGAGGAGCTGAAGGTGTCCTTTAGCAAAGGGGTTGGAACAGAGACGGCCGAATTTGCTGAGTTAAAGACACAAATAGAGAGATTGAGACTAGATTACCAGCATGAAATAGAAAGTCTGCAGAATAAACAAGACTCTGAACGGTCTGCTCATGCTAAAGAGATAGAAGCCCTGAAGTCTAAACTGATGGCAATCATTAAGGAAAAGGAGGACAACCTGGAGGCCATCAAATCGAGACTGGACAAAGCCGAAGACCAGCATCTAGTGGAAATGGAAGACACGTTAAACAAATTGCAGGAGGCTGAGATAAAGGTAAAGGAGCTAGAGGTTCTGCAAGCCAAGTGCAATGAACAAGCCAAAGTCATTGGTAATTTTACATCACAGCTCAAGGCTGCTGAAGAAAAGCTCTTGGATCTTGATGCACTTCGGAAAGCCAGTTCCGAAGGTAAATCGGAAATTGAGACACTTAGACAGAAGCTTGAGGCAGCTGAGAAACAGATTAAAACTTTAGAGGTTGAAAAGAATGCTGAAAGTGGCAAGGTTTGTATTGACAATCCTCCATCCTTTCTTTTCTTTTCTGTTGTTATTCTTGTTTTGCGTTGTTACTTTTGAGTTGAGGTCATTCACCCCAAATTGCTGATTTCATGGAAACAAATTGCATGGCCCATCCAGTTGAGTATCTTCTAAGGATCTCAATATGGTTTCATCTGAGGAGATTAGAGAAAATAATGGTCTGATCAGATGTGGATTTATATTGATGTCCTAGAATCTGGTTACTTTATCCCTGGGTAGTGAGGTTGGCCTCTGTTTAAGCTTAATGTCTCAGAGAATTCCCTGAGACCCTGGTGTTAAGGTAAATTTGTGAGTGACATCGAAATTCATAAGATTGGCTGGCATGGTGGTTCATGCCTGTGATCTCAGCATTCAGAAGACTGAGGCAAACGGATTGTAAATTTAAAGCCTCAGATTATTCAGCAAGACTATGTTTCAAAAAAAAAAACCCCAAATCATATGAAGTCATTTCTTTTGTTTACACCCACATCATATAAAAGTGTAATAAGAACTCTGTTTTCAACTACTGTAAATTAACACAGTGTGATGAGTAACTTTCACAGCAGATGAAAGGTCAAGAGCCCAGTGGCTTTTGCATTCCTACTTTGTTTTCATTGGAGTTTCTTACATGCCACATTGAAGACAATATCCTCTTTTTGAGGAAAATCTGGGAAATGGAGCTATGGCTCAAGTGGTAGAGCACCAGCCTTGAGCAGAAACACTAAGGGAAGGCATCCAGAACCTGAATTAAGTCCTGGCACTGGGACAAAAAAAAAGTATATTTGAAGGACAACTGGTTAAGTACATTTTGTCAAGGCATGGGGGAGCATACACAACGTTCGCTGATAGCATAACAAGTGCTTTTAAGGAAAGTCACTTGATTGAGGTTTTTCTCCCAGTCCTGTCACTAGTTGAGGTACTTATTCTGATGCTGACTGTTGTGAGCTTTCTGCAAGACAAGCTGCTCTAATGGCAGAGATGGAAGTGTTACGATGGACAGATGAGGACAAATAGCAAAACTAGTTACAGGAAATTTTTCTCTGATTTCCTCATGTGATTCTGAAATACCAGTTAAAACAAAAGTTAATCAGAAGAGACTCTGTAGCTGATGGTTGGGCTGCTTTTTCATATCAAGATTTAATGAGCTGGACACTGGTGGCTCAGGCCCAGATCTCAGAAAACTGAGATCTGAGGATCACAGTTCAAAGCCAGTCCAGGCAGAAAAGTCCCTGTGAGACTCTTATCTCCATTTAACCATTGAAAACTGGTGCTGTGGCTCAAATGGTAGAGTGCTAGCCTTGAGCCCAAAGAGGCTCAGGGACAGTGCCCTGAATTCAAGCCCCACAACCAACCCCCCCCAAAAAAAAATGAAAACTGAGTTCTGATGGCTATTTTCTAGTATATTTAAAAATTTTAAATATTTTATATGCCAAAAGTATGGTGAATAATACAGACCACTAGGGCTGGGAAGGTGGCTCAGTGGTAGAGTGCTTGCCTTGCATGCATGAGGCCCTGGGTTCCATTCCTCAGCACCACATAAGCCAAGAAATCTGGAAGTGGCACTGTGGCTCAAGTGGTAGAGCGCTAGTCTTGAGCTGAAGAGCTGAGGGACAGCGCCCAGGCCCAGAGTTCAGGCCCTATGACTGACCCCCCCCCCCCCCAAAATACTCTTATAATATACCCGCCATTTCTATCTTAAGGACTTTGGGGAGGAGGGAATTGAGTAATGAGCCTAGAGCCCTTGAGCGTGCTAACAAGCATGGCTCTTTATATCCCTAGCATTAAGATTTTTGAACTCTAGAAATAAAATGGGCCAAGTATTGAAATGTATCTTTAACTTTCTAAAAATAGCCATTAGACAATCATATCTAGAATTGATTCTTTAAAAAGTTACTGGATTCTTAGAATTAAAAAAAAAACTTTTTATTCCTTTCAGTTTTGTTTTGTTGTGTTTGTTTCTCATAGATTTTTTTTTTACATTTGTTTGTTTTTCTTTATCATTCTTTTTTGTTTCCTTTTCATTCATTTGCTTCTATACCATGTAATTCTGTATGTTAGGCTAGTAGCATTACCAAAGAGCTCCAGGGGCAAGAGCTAAAGCTTACTAACCTTCAGGACAATTTGAGTGAAGTCAGCCAAGTCAAAGAGGCTTTGGAAAAAGAACTTCATATTTTGGTAAGTACCTGTTGGGTATCTGAAAATCAGGGTTTCTGGCTATTTCCTGTTTAAAAAAAAGTCCATAAAGAGATACTGCAGCTATTTCTTTTCTCCTTCAAAATCTTGATTTAAATTGAGTACATTAGTTACTGACTGATAAATAACTGTGGGAGCATGCCTGTAATCTTAGCACTTGGGAGGCTGAGACAGGAGGATCGAGAATTTGAGGCCAACTTCAGTTTCATAGTGAGACCCAGTCTCAATAAACAAAAGCCAGCCAAACAACCAAACAGACCTTCAGGGGAATCTGATCAGGACTCACTAGCAGTAAAGGTAGGTATTACTTTCCTTTCTTCTTTTAATCTTTTCCTTGCCTCTGATTGAGCACTGCTTTGAAACGTCATTGATCAGTTTTACTGAACACAGACAATCACAGTTACACATCTAGCATGGTTGGGTTTCATTCATGTTGACTTTGGGGACCAGGCACCCCACTCCCATCTCTTCACCCCACTCCCCACACCCGCCATCTTGGGCTCAGGGCAATCTGTTGATGAGGCAGGATGTTATATCATGTATTTAAAGCTTAATTGTCTTATACCTTAGGAAATTACTTTTCCTTTCTATATTTATTTTTTTTCCTAGAGAGACATTTTTAAAAAATCTTTCCTCAACATTTTCCTTTCCAATTTTTTTACATCAAAACCCAACTTTGTATAAGGCTGATCATTGTGAATTGTGAACTGTGGTCCCCCTGTAGCATGGAGAGGAAAGATATAAGCTTACAGAGAAACTAGATAGGAGAAACCATACTTCCTCCACTTACTTTGCATCTCTCAACTTACTAGATGTTTTTGCTAATGACAGTGGTGGATCAAGGTGAATACTTTAAAAAAAAAAAACTTAGTGGCTGAGTGCCAGTGGCTTAGGCCTTTAATTGTAGCTACTCAGAGGGCTGAGATCTGAGGATCACGGTTCAGAGCCAGCCAGGGCAGGAAACTCTGTGAGACCCTTATCTCCAATAAACCATCAGAAAACCAGAAGTGGTACTGTGGCTCAAGTGGTAAAGTGCTTGCCTTGAGCTGAAGAGCTAAGGGACAGCAACTCAGGCCCAGAGTTTAAGCCTGGTAATCATATAGTTGTGTTGTTCAGTGGTAGCTATTTCAATTATTTAAGTAAAATTCAAAATTCTATTTCTCTGATGCACTAGCAAATTATAAGTGCTCAGTAGCCATGTGTGACCATGGGTTCGTAGAGAACATTTCACCATTGCAGAAAGTTCTGCTAGACAGTCTGGTATATAATATTTTTGCTATTACATTTTGAGGAAAAATTGGCTTGGGAATCGCCATTCTGTGTTTTGATGTCCTTAACCTGTGAACCTTTTCAGTTTAAAAAATTGTGGACTCAGGTTCATAATACGCTAAGACTCAAATCTAGTTCAAGCTTCTCAGAATATAAAACTTCTCAGAAATATAAAAAATTCAGCATTGGGGATTTAGCTCAGTGGAAGAAAATTTGCCTGGCACAAGTACAAGATCTGAGTTCAGTCCTCAGCTCTGGAAAAAATGGGGGAGGGGGGCCGGAAATCCAGAACTCTGTTGTCTCAGGAAGATTTCTGAAGAGAAGGTCGCTATTAGAGGGTCAGCACCATGACAAAGCTTGCACATGCACCACTGTATTACATGTACTTGTGTATACTTATGCAAGTGTACATGTTCATACATGTGTATATAGGCATACATGCATGTTCATACACACAGCACATGCACAAATTATAAATGCATATATGCGCATTGTACTGTATGCATTTGGTAGTTAATTAGTTAAGTATGTTAATTTAACAAAACAAAATCAGGCACAAAAAGTAAATAGTATTGTAGTTACTACCAGTAGACACTCTTTATCTTAATGCTTTGAAATCCTTATATTGTGAATATCTGGTTCTTTCTCTTTAGAAAGAAAAGTTTGCTGATGCTTCAGAAGAGGCAGTCACTGTTCAGAAAAGTATGCAAGGTATGTTTTACTGAAGTCAGAACAGAACATGTCTTGCTCTCACTGTGGCTGCTCTCTTGAGTGCAGAATAGACACTACCTGTAGTCAAGTCTCACAGTCCTAAATTTTGCAGCACGCAGGAATATTGCATTCCATAGGCTTCCAGAAGCCTCAAACTCCTAATTCTTTCTTCTCTTGTTCCATATTAAAATGTAAGTATTCCTGGGGAATGTATTAGTTAAGCTTTCATCATTGACAGCTCTCTTGAATTTCAATTGGAATAAGAGATATGTGAAAAAGGCATGCCTGGGCCTGTTTGGCATACAGCTGTGGGGAGGTGGCAGAGAGGCTTACTTGCTTCATTAGTGGTGTACACAGGTGTGCTTCTTAATGGGACTTTTTAGTATTCCTGTCTTCTTAGGTCTCACAAGTGTATGATTTGATTGGGTTGTAAGTCAGACAAGTTCTAGTGACTTAAATATGAAACACATTAAACTTTCAACTTTATCTTAAATAGAAACTGTAAATAAATTACACAAAAAGGAAGAAGAGTTTAACATGCTGTCTTCTGAATTGGAGAAGTTGAAAGAAAATTTAACAGGTAAGGAGATTTCTCTGGTGACTAATGATTATGTACAGTAGGTTTGCTAGGATTGAGATAGTTGTCATTTGTTAGAATAACTGATCTACTATACAGGCATAACTGCTTCACTCATTATGGTTATATAATATTTGAGATCTGTAATTCTCAGCAAGTCCTCGTTTCTGTTTTCAAAAAGAGAATTTAACACATCCCATCACTCCTGCTATCTTTTCTTTTTTGTCGGCCATGGGGCTTGAACTCTGGGCCTGGGTACTGTCCCTCAGCTCTTCAGCTCAAGGCCATCACTCAAGGCCACTTGAGCCACAGTGCCACTTCTGGTTTTCTGGTGGTTAATTGGAGATAAGAATCTCCCGGACTTTTCCTGCCCGGGCTGGCTTTGAACCATGATCCTCAGATCTCAACCTTCTGAGTAGCTAGGATAACAGGCTCATGAGCCACTGGCACATGGCCACTCCTGCTATCTTTGATCCAAGTCAAAAGGATCTTATATATGAGTAACCTTAACAGCTGATCATTCACTTCCTGTCTTTGCTCCCACTTCCTTCTGTACTCAACACAGCAGATTGAGTGATCCTTTTTATCTTTTTTAGAATTTTATTTTGAGGAAGGCTCTGTAGCCGAGTCTGTTCCTGAACTTTCCATGGATCCTCTTGCTGCCTCTTAAAATCATAGCTGCAGTCAGATCATGTCACTTCTCTGCCCAAGATTGTTCAGTAGTTCCCATCTCACTCTGTCTTACCCTCATCAAGCCCCATTGCCTGGAGGATTTCAACCTAGACTGTCCTTCCCCTTGCTCATTCCACTCTGGCCACATCCACCTCCTGGTGATAGGGACACTTTAGTCATGGTTCTGCCCCACAGCTTTTGCCTTTGCCTTTCTATCTTCCCTCCTTTGTTTCATATATTCACTTAAGTGTCACTTATTTCAGAGGGGCTACTTCTAAGATCTGCATGTCTTTCCCCTTCTTTCATTTTTTCTCTCTTAGCACTTATCTCTGTTACATTATTCTTTATCCTTTTGGTGTCTTGTCTTTGCTAAAGTGTGATTTCCTTGAGGGTTAGGGATTGGCACCTGCCAATATCCCTAGTGCAAGATGTATCCAATAAATGTTTCTTGCTCTTAATACAGAGGTGCTATTTTTATAAATTTTATTATTAAGTAGTTGTACAAAGAAGTTACAGTTCTGTAAGGTATGTTATGAGTACAATGCATCTTGGTCAGAAGTGCTATTTTTGTGTATTCAGATATGGAGGCCAAATTTAGAGAGCAGGATGAAAGAGAAGAACAATTGACAAAGGCGAAGGAAAAACTGGAAAATGACATTGCAGAAATAATGAAGATGTCAGGAGATAATTCTTCTCAGCTGACAAAAATGAATGATGAGTTGCGTCTGAAAGAAAGGTATGTAGATATGTTGATGGTTAGGCTTGGCGGTGTCTAGATATTGAGAAGGCATAGGCTCTGGGTTGTTGTCTCTTCCCCTCCCTCTCCCCCAGCCAATCATGGGACTTGAACTTTGGGCCTGGGCACTGTCCCTCAGCTGCTTTTGCTCAAGGCTGGTGCTCTACCACTTGAGTCATAGTGCCCTTCCAGCTTTTTCTGTGTATGTAGTGCTAAGGAATCAGACACAGGCCTTCATGCATGCTAGGCAAGCACTCTATCACTGAGCCACATTCCCAGCCCCAGGGTTGTTGTCTTTTATACTTTCCTATCTCCCTCCTTCTTTCCCTTGATTTTGCTCTTGCTTTTGTGCTTGTAATGCTGGGATTGAACCCAGTTCCTTGCATATATGAGGCAAGCATTCTGCCACTGAGCTAAACTACATGTCCCTACCTTCTGTTTCTTCCTGTTATTGCTTTATTGTGTACTTAACTGCTTAACATTCTAAAATGGACTTTGCCTATCTCTCATCAAAATATATTGGTGCCCAGCCGGGCGCTGGTGGCTCACGCCTGTAATCCTAGCTACTCAGGAGGCTGAGATCTGAGGATCTCGGTTCAAAGCCAGCCCGGGCAGGAATAGACCGTGAGACTCCTATCTCCAATAAACCACCAGAAAACCGGAAGTGGCGCTGTAGCTCAAGTGGTAGAGCGCTCGCCTTGAGCTGAAGAGCAGAGGGACAGCGCCCAGGCCCAGAGTTCAAGCCCCACGACTGACAAAAAAAAAAAAAAAAATATATATATATATATATATATATATATATATTGGTGCCCTTCTTTTATTTTTACTTTTTCTTTTTCTTTCTTTTTTTCCTTTTTTTTGTCGGTTGTGGGGCTTGAACTCTGGGCTTAGGCTCTGTCCTGCGCTCTTGAGCTCAAGGCAGGCACTCTACCGTATGAGCCACAGCACCACTTCTGGTTTCCTAGTGGTTTATTGGCGATAAGAGTCTCACGGACTTCCCTGCCCGGGCTGGCTTTGAACCGCGATCCTCAGATCTCAGCCTCCTGAGTAGCTAGGATTACAGGGTGAGCCACTGGTACTCGGCTTCTTCTTCTTTTTTTTTTTTTGGTCAGTTGTGGGGCTTAAACTCTGGGCCTGGGCACTGTCCCTCAGCTCTTCAACTCAATGCTAGCACTCTACCACTTGAGCCACAGTGCCACTTCTGGTTTTCTGTTGGTTAATTGGAGATAAGAGTCTCACAGACTTTCCTGCCTGGGCTGGCTTTGAACCATGATCCTCAGATCTCAGTCTCCTGAGTAGCTAGGATTACAGGCATCAACCACTGGCACACAGCTATTTTTAATTTTGTGTGTGTGTGTGTGTGTGTGTGTGTGTGGTATTGAAGATTCAATTCAGCGCCTCAAACATGCAAATGCTCCACCATTTCCCTCAATTCTATTTCCTTTAGTATATTTTTCACTCATTTTTCCTTATTTATTTATTTTTTTTGGGGTGGGGTCCGGTTGTGGGGCCTGAACTCTGGGCCTGGGCGCTGTCCCTCAGCTCTTCAACTCCAGGCTAGCGCTCTCCACTTGAGCCACAGCACCACTTCCGGCTTTTTTTCTTTTTTGCTTATGTGGTGCTAAGGAATGGAACCCAGGGCCTCATGCATGCAAGGCAAGCGCTCTACCTCTGAGCCACCTTCCCAGACCCATCATTTTTCCTTATTGATATACTAATATAAGACAATAAACATTCACTTTCACAGTGTAATAGTTGTTACTCTGAATAATGTTTAACTACCACAGTTGTTAAAATTATTCTTCAGGCAAGTCATTTTTTTTTATCTGCCTTGATTTCAGGGATTATTACTCAAATTATATAACCAGTTGTTTCACAAATTATATAACCATTAATAAATTGTTGTTCTTGGTGGTGTATACCTGTAATCCTTGCTACTCAGGAGGCTGAGATCTGAGGATTATGGTACAGAGCCAGCTCTGGCAGGAAAGTCTGTGAGACTCTTATCACCAATTAACTGTCAAAAAGCCAGAAGTGGAGTTGTGGATTAAATGATAGATACTACGCTTGAGCTTAAAAACTGAGACAATGCCCAGTGCCCTGAGTTCAAGCAACAGGACCAACACAAAAAAAAAGTGTATTTCTTGTGGGCATGGTGGTACATACCTATAATCCCAGCATTCAAGAGACTGAAATGGGAGAATTGTAAGTTTGAGGTTCGTTTGGGCTGCAAAGGAAGTTTTTGACCAACCTAGGTTGCATGGTGAGACCCTTTCTCAAAAAAAAAAAAAAAAAAAAAAAGGGACTAGGAATGTGGCTTAGTGGTAGAGTGCTTGCCTAGCATTCAGGAATCCCTAGATTCGACTCCTCAGTACCACATAAACAGAAACAGCTCAAAGTGGTACTGTGGCTCAAGTGGTAGAGTACTAGCCTTGAGCAAAAAAGTCTTAAGACCTAAGTTCAAGCCCCAGGACTGGCCAAAAAACCAAATTGTTTCTAATATAATTCTTTTTTTTTTTTTTTTTTTTTGTGGTCCTGGGGCCTGAACCCTTTGTTCTGTCCCTCAGCTCTTCAGCTCAAGGCTAGCGCTCTACCACTTGAGCCACAGCACCACTTTCAAGTTTTTCTGCTTATGTGGTGCTAAGGAATATAATCCAGGGCCTCATACATGCAAGGCAAGCACTCTGTCATTGAGCCCCCTTCCCAGCCCCTCTAATATAATTCTTAAGTTTAAGACATTTTTATGAAAAAATCTGATATCTCATTGAATTTTGTTTTAGATGTGTAGAAGAATTACAGCTAAAACTTACAAAGGCTAATGAAAATGCAAGTTTTCTGCAGAAAAATATTGGGGAAATAACTCTTAAAGCTGAACAGAGCCAGCAGGAAACAGCCAAAAAGCATGAAGAAGAAAAGAAAGGATTAGAAGAAAAATTGTTGGACCTGGTAAGGAGGGAATACGTGGAACTGTTTGTTATAAGGAGAGCAGGGGGTCCATGGATGGCCAAATGACACTCATGGCTTTGGGGATTCTGCAGGAAAAGAAAATGGAAACAAGCCACAACCAGTGTCAGGATCTGAAAGCCAGGTATGAAAAAGCCAGTTCCGATATGCAAACAAAGCATGAAGAAATCCTGCAGAACCTCCAGAAGATACTGTTGGACACAGAGGAGAAGCTGAGGACTGCGCAGGAGGAGAACAGAGGCTTGATGCAGGAGATGGAGGAACTGAAAACACAGGCCGATAAAGCCAAAGTAAGTCTGAGAGAAGTGGTACAGCTATGTGCAACTGTGTTATTGCTTGCTTGAGTTCTGCACCAAGGCTTAGAAAGTAGCAGCAAACGAGACCCATTGACTTGTCCTCACAAATGATAATTACTAGGTGTCAGGTGGATGGTGAATGGAATTTCCTATGGTCTCAAATGTTTTTGTCAGCTGCTCTTCCTTCTTAGAGATGGTGATAGCTACAGGTGTGCCTGATAGCCATCACTACCCCTGTGCTGTTTGTCCTCGTCACATAGCCTCTTGTTGTCTGAGCTCTGTTGGCTTGCTTGCAGTAGACTCTGGTGTGGGTGGGAAAGCATCTTCCTGTAGTCTTGGCTGAACATGCTGCTACCCCTGGGTTTAGGAAAGACAAACTACAGAAAGCAGAAGGCAGAGACCACTGAATGAATAGGACTCTTGTAAGAAGAGCCTAAAGCGAAAACTATGGAGAAGACTTTTGTGTGGGCCCAGAAAGCCTCTGTGAACTTAGTGCCAAGAAAGTTGGAATCAAGGACCCAAGAAGTATCTTATTAGTTAAGGCGTAGAATGTTGAGTTTCAGTATGTGGTGCTTTAACTCTAATAACTTCAGAAAATATAAGCTTTCTACCATTATTTTACTTTTTATTGTTTAAGGAAAGGTAAATACTTATTTTTATTTTTGATGTGTTACAGAAATGTTTATTATGCATTTAGTAGTAAGAAATGATGAAAACAACTTGAATCTAGTCTCACTAAACTCCTGCTGTTGTAGACAGTAGGTAGTTCAGACATTGAGAATTTGCCTAGCATTATTAGCAGGCCCTGGTTTCTGCCTCCAGAACTATCTGTTAAATAAATGAACCTGGGCACACATGTTAGAGGTTGCGGCTTCTGTCTTCCACATCCTGCCAATCAGGACTTTCTCTTCTCTCCTCTTAAAAACACCTCCAGTGCTGGGTGCTAGTCACTCACACCTGTAGTCCTAGCTACTCAGGAAACTGAGATCCGGGGATCATGGTTTGAAGCCAACCTAGGTAGGAAAGTCTGTGGCACTCTTTTTTTCCTGTGGAACTCATCTCCAATTAACCACCAGAAAATCAGAAGTGTAGCTATAGCTCAAAGTGCTAGCGAGCTAACCTTAATTAAGCAAAAGAGCAAAGGGACAGTATGCTCAGACCCTGAGTTCAAGATTCAGGAATGACACAAAACAAACAACAAAAGCCCACCTCTAATTTGATGAGCCATTTAATGGTGGATATGATTCCTGGATCTATTGTCTGTGGGTTCCCTTTATGGGAATAAACTCTAATTTTGTAAATGTTTGAAATGTTATTGCCTGGCCAAACCACAGCATTGTAGTTGTTGGTGTGAGGTTTTGCTGATTTTTATCTGGTGGTTTGTTTAGAAGTCATTTCATTAAAATGTCAGAACTCTTTCCCTCCAGAAGTTGCCATGTGCGTGTTGGATTATAGTAAAGTTTAATGTTGTATAAACTCTGGAGAATCTGATTAACTTATTACCTTATTATCTGATTGTCTTATTACCTTAGGGAAGTTTATACAATATTCATACTCCATTCCAGGAGGTCACAGAGTTGGTGAACCTGGCTTACAACTCACTGTTCTGTAACTCTGCTGTCTAATACAAAAATCACTAGCCCCATGAGACAAGTTAATTTTAGATTTGTTGCATCTTAAAATTGTAGGCCAGGTTCTAGTGGTTCACACTTGTAATCCTAGCTACTCAGGAGGCTGAGATCTGAGGATCGTGGTTCAAACCAGCCCTCCCAGGAAAGTACTCTTCTCTTCAATAAACTGCCAGAAAACCAGAAGTGGCACTATGGCTCAAAGTGGTAGAGCACTAGCCTTGAGCAAAAATTGCTCAGGGACATAACTTAGGTCTTGAGTTCAAGCCCCATGACTGACAGAAAGAAAATTGCAAATCCACCTCCTCAATTGTATTCAACACATTGAAAGTGCTTAGTAGTCACATGACTACTGTACAGGACAAAAAGTTCTGGACAGTGCCAGTATAGACATTGGGGTCAGATTATCTTGTAAATAATACTTAAAACATTCTTTATTTTGACCTGCTCCGTTTCCGACCTGGGCCGGTTCACCCCTCCTTAGGCAACCTGGTGTCCCCACGCTCCCGGGAGGTCACCATATTGATGCCGAACTTAGTGCGGACACCCGATCGGCATAGTGCGGACACCCGATCGCATAGCGCACTGCAGCCCAGAACTCCTGGACTCAAGCAATCCTCCGGGCTCAGCCTTCCGAGTAGCTGGGATTACAGGCGCGCGCCACCGCGCCCGGCCATTCTTTATTTTTAGTTACCAAAGCCCAGAAATTAGTCTGCACTTAAGTGTGTGTGTGTGTGTGTGTGTGTGTGTGTGTGTGTGTGTGTGTGTGTGTGTGTGTGTGTGTGTGATAGGATAGGATTAGATCAATCTTAGCCCAGTGACTTTATGAAATAAGGTCTTGCAGTTAGTTATAAAGAGGTGATTTAATTCCCATTGTAACCACTACCTTTTGCTAAAATATATTTAGTTTTGATAGTTATATGGTGGGGGGGATTTTTTTTTTTTTTTGCAGATGCAGCCTATAGCCTTATACATACTAAGCATGTGTTCTACCACTGAAACTATACCCTTGTCTGAGAATTATATTTTTACAAATTCTTCTATGAGGTGTGTGTGTCTGTGTGGTGTCTGGCGGGGGGAGAGAAGTAGGGGAGGAGGAAGCGTGGGTTGTATGTCCAGGGGCTTGAAGTCAGTCTGGGTACTGTCCTTGAGCTTTTTTTGTCCAAAGCTAGCACTTTACCACTTGAGCCAGAGCTTCACTTAAAGCTTTTTGATGGTTAATTGGAGCTAAAAGTATCTTAGACTTCTTACTTGGGGCTGGCTTCAAATTGCAGTCCTCAGGTCTCAACCTTCTGAGTAGTTAGGATTATGGGCATGAGCCACTGGCCGCTTGGCTTATGAATATTTTTTACAATGGATATAGTGGGGGCGATTGGAATGGCAGGAGAGAATCTTAAGCCCCGATGTTAAAATCAGGATGCTATTTCCTTCTGGTAGGGAGTTATCAGGAATAATTTCACAAGTTGTTCCAAAGATAAGGCAAGTGAATAAGCACTTTGCAAAGCTAAATTTGCTTTGTATTATGCCTTTATGAGATCTGTTTCTCCAGTTTCTTCCTCTTGTTATTTTATGGTTTCTATGCAGCTTACTGTGGAAAATTTAAAGTTTGACACTCTGCATTAAGTTATTTGGGCTTGCATTTGTCTGCTTGATTTCATTTTGTTTCCATTCTTCCCATCTTGTGTTTCTGTAGTCGCTAACTTATTTGTTAACATCAGCCAAAAAAGAAATTGAACTAATGTCAGAAGAGCTGAGGGGTCTGAAATCAGAGAAGCAGCTTCTTGCACAGGAAGGCAATGCTTTAAAGGTAGAAAAAGGTTCACTTTTATCAAAGTTGATAGAAATGGAGGCCAAAATAACTTTGCTTCAGGAAGACCAACAGAAACTATGGTCAGCAAACAAAACTCTCAATTTAGAAAAGGAAAAAGTTTTAAAAGAAAAGCAAGATGCTGAAAAGCTTTACAAGCAAGAACATCTTGATAAAGAAGCTTTGGCTATTGAGAGAGAAAAACTGCTGAAAGAAATCAGCGTTGCACAGGAAGAACTTTTGAAGATAAATGTGGAAAATGACTCTTTGCAAGCTTCCAAGGTGCACATGCAGACGCTCATCGAGGAGCTCCACTTCCGCACAGATGCTCTCATAGCTATGTCTGAGAGGGCTCGGGTAGAGAAAGACCACCTGGAGGATCAGATCAAGAAGCTTTCTGCTGAAAACCTTATCTTGACGAAAGACAAGGATGACATCATTCAGAAACTTCAGAGTGCTTACGAGGAGCTTGTCAAGGATCAGAAAGCCTTAGTCCACGAGATTGAAGAGCTCACAACCGAGAAGAGGTCAACAGCTGAGAAGCAGTTGAGCCTCGACAACATGTGCCTGGCCCTAAAGGCAGAACGAGAGAGCCTTCTCCAAAGCAACAGAGACCTGCAGCTTGAGAAGGACACACTACGTCAGGGTCAGGAGAAGCTGAGTGCCAGCCTGGAGGCTGCCCTGCAGGTCAAACAGCTCCTCAGCACTGAAGCTGATGCTCTGCGCACACAGCTGGACTGTGCCAGCAAAGCACTGAGGAAGGCTGAGCTGGAGACAAGGCAGCTTCAGGCTACCAATGCAAGTCTTACAAAGCTCCTGGAAGAGATTAAGACAAGCCGGGCAATCACAGACTCTGAGTGCATCCAGCTTCTTCATGAGAAAGAGACTCTGGCTGCCTCTGAGAGGAGGCTTCTGGCTGAGAAAGAAGAACTTTTAAGTGAAAATAGTCTCATTACTGAAAAACTCAACAAGCACTCTGAAGAAGCCACTCATCTTGAGATGAGTCTCAATGACAAAATCACATGCCTAGCTTCTGAGAAGGAGATAGCTTGTCAGAAAATTACTAAGCTTAAAAAGCAGCAAGACAGCCTCTTGAAAGAAAAATCGGCACTAGAAGTACAAATTGGAGATTTACTTTCAGAAAGAGAGAATTCCATCAAAGCCATAGGAGACCTTAAAAGAAAGTATGAGCAAGAGGCTGCAAGCCGAAGAATAATTGTTCAGGAGAAGATGAAACTACTTGGTAATATCGATGCTCTGAAGAAAGAGCTTCAGGAGAGAAAACAGAAAAATCAAGAGCTAGAGGCCAGTAAGTGTGACCTCTCTTTAATGCTGAAAGAAGCTCAGAATGCCAAAAGGGATCTTGAAAAAGAACACACCAACATGATGCAAGCAAAGGAGAGTTTGAATGCTGAGCTGAAGACTTGTTGTTGTGAAAAGAACATATTGCTGAGGGATGGTTTAAGCCTGCAAGAAGAATGTCAGAAATTAAATGAAGAGATTCATACAATACAGCAGTCTTTAATCCTGGAAAAAGAGGCCAGAGTGAAGGAAAATGAGTCATCCTTGTATGAAAACAATAAACTTCATGGCAGAATGGTGCTCTTGGAGCAGGAAGTGGATGGGTTAAGAGTATGTACAGAACAGCTTCAGTCTGAGAATTTTGTACTAATGCAAGAAAAAACCAAATTGGAACAACAAGTGGTAGAGATAATTAAGGAAAAGGAGCTCTTGAGCATGGAAACAGCTCAACTTGCTGCCAATATCGAGACCCTGAAAAGTGATTTTGCTGCTCTATCCAAGTCCAAGTTGGAACTGCAGGAACTCCACAGCTGCCTCACCAAGATCCTGGAAGATCTTCGGCTGAACCATGAGGTGGCTGTGGCTGACAGAGCCAAGGTGCTACAGGATAACAAGAGTATCCTGGCTGAGAAAAGAGAAATGATGCTGAGAAATGATGAGCTCCTGAAGGAGAAGGAGAAGCTGGAAGAAAACTACTTTCTCCTACAGAAGGAGATTAGCCAGCTGGCCAAGACCAACAGCCACATTTCAACCAACCTTCTAGAATCTCAAAGTGAAAACCGTACTTTGAGGAAAGACAAGAGCAAGCTTACCCTTAAAATTAGAGAGCTTGAGACTCTTCATTCATTTACGGTAAAGTGAGAGTTCAAGTATCGCACACTGGGACTACTTACTAACCCTCTGCACTAACATTAGTAGCTTACGTGGTTTTTTTCCCTCATTGCTACTCAGTTAAATCAGTGCAGACCCTTCATAGCTCATATGTCTCCAGCTGTTTGTTGCAGTCTGAAAGGACAGTTCTTTACTAAATATCTAATTGCAGTAGTCTCTCCCCCATTTAGAAAAAAATGGCAAACTGGGAATAAAAAAGATTCTTTTTTAATTTAATGGAAAACTGAAAAAGTTGTGATTGTTAAGAGCTTAAGAGCAGTAGTAGAATGGGAACATACTGAAGTACAGTTTTCTGCTATTTGGCTTTTAAATGTCTGATTGTGTCTTTTGGGAGTTAGATGACTCCACTGAAACCTCCAGCTATAGCTGAGTATAACTGCTATAACAAACCAAGTGAAACTGCAGGGTATTATTTTTTAATATTTAGCAGCCATTATGCATTATTTCCAGCTGTACACATCTTTTTTATTCACAGCCACAATTCATTACCCACAGTTTCTCTCATAGACTTTCAATTAAGTAGTTCTCTTGAAACACTTGAGCTTTACATTATAATTGCCCAAATAATTTATGTTTTTATGTGCAAATATTATCATCCTAAATTGAATGATTTCAAAAGCCCTAAATTTGAAATATCAAGAATAGTATTTTAAACTTAGTGCAATAAGTGTGATTAAGAAACATTCAGCTCTATGGGGAATTACTTTTTATTACCACGAGACTTGTCAAATGTAAGTCAGAATGATGAGAACAAGCTTTCCAGTGTAACTTGGAACTTAGATGTAGGTTTAGAGGAATATGGACATGAATTATTGAGAGATGGCCTGGAAAAGGTTTGTAACTTTATTCTACTTCAGAGTACAGACCCTTCACATGTCTGTTGGCTTTAGGGTTGGGTTGATGGCTTTGACCTCTGTGTGTCTCCCTTAGCCACACAGATGCTGAGTGCTGCCTGAGCAGCATAGCCTGATTGTGCCTGATGGCATCAGGAAGGTATTCTCCTTCTCACAGTGTTTTCTTGTACTTAGGCTGCTCAGACTGCAGAAGATGCCATGCAGATAATGGAACAGATGACCAAAGAGAAGACAGAAACTCTGGCCTCCTTGGAGGACACCAAGCAAACAAATGCAAAACTACAGACCGAAGTAATCAGATTTAAATGGTTTTTTGTACAAAGAACAGCTTACCGGCTTCATGGAATGTTTGATCACTAACTCAGGACTGTGTAAATTTTTGATGCTGGACTCATACAGGTTTGATCTGTGTTAGAGTCTAATACATGCCACATCCATATACTAAATAAAGCGGATTGCTTCATTACTTATTTAGTAGGACCAACCTTTAAGAATTGAGGGAGAAACCTAATAGTGTGGCTGTCAAAGGTAATTATTTCATGATAGCACTAGACAGGAAGTGCTGGTGGCATTCCTAGTTTCTGTAACCTTTATCTTGTATCACATTGTTTTTCTTCAACTCCTCACACATTGGAACCACTAAATTCCAGTCTCCATCCCTGATCTTGAGGTAGGCCTTTTCTTTTTTTTCTTTTTTCTTGGTCAGTCATGGGGCCTGAACTATGGGTCTAGGTACTGTCCCTCACCTCTTCAGCTCAAGGCTAGTGCTCTACCACTTGAGCCACAGCGCCACTTCTGGCTTTTTCTGCTTATGTGGTGCTGAGGAATTGAACCCAAGGCCTCGTGCATACAAGGCAAGCACTCTACCACTGAGCCACGTTCCCAGCCTTATGTAGGCCTTTTCTTGGCCTACTTCAATACAGATTCCCTTTTATGTAATTAGTGACTTCTGGAACTGGACATATTTATGGCATGAAGGTATTTCTGTTCTATCCATAGGTAATACTTCTCCTTCTTGGATAATTCCCTAATTCTCCTGTTTCCCCATTCCCAACTCATAGTAACTTTTTCTCTTTTTGGAAAGCTTCTACCTAAATCCCTAGCAGACAGACTCACTGAAATGGGTGTATAAATTTCTGTATACTTTCAGGTTTTTTGTTTTTGTTTTTGCCTGGAGCTTGCACTCAGGGCCTGGACACTGTCCCTAAGCTTCTTTTTGCTCAAGGCTAGCACTCTGCCACTTGAGCCACAACACCACTTCTGGCTTTTTCTGTTTATGTGGTACTGAGGAATCGAACCCAGCAGGGCTTCATGCATGATAGGCAAACACTCTAACACTAAGCCATATTCCCACCCAGGTTTTGTGTGTTTTTTTTTTTGTCGGTCATGGGCCTGAACTCAGGCCTGGGCGCTGTCCCTCAGCTCAAGGCTAGTGCTCTACCATTGAGCCACCTTCCCAGTCCCCCACCCACGTATTTTTTTAAGTCACAGGAAAGTAAGGTGTTTTAGAAGTAGATCAAGAGACGGGATGACCAAATGGGATAACTGTATGAAGACTAGGCCTCCTATGTGACTTTGCCAAGGCACTGACATTTTGAAGTAATGATAGGGTGAACAAAATGGACAATACTATGAGAAGACAAGTTTATTAAAAAAAAAAAACAAAAAAAACTGCCAAGTGCCAGTTGGCTCACGCCTGTAATCCTAGCTACTCAGGAGGCTAAGATCTGAGGATCACAGTTCGAAGCCAGCCTGGGCAGGAAAGTCTGTGAAAGGTTTTTATTTGTTTTTGCATTCCTGAGGCTTGAACTCATTGCCTGGACACTGTCCCTAAGCTTCCTTTGCTCAAGACTAGCATTCTAGCCAGGCGCTGGTGGCTCAGGCCTGTAATCCTAGCTGCTCAGGAGGCTGAGATATGAGGATCTCTGTTCAAAACCAGCCCGGGCAGGAAAGTCCATGAGACTCTTTAATAAACCACTAGAAAACTGGAAGTGGCGCTGTAGCTCAAGCGTAGAGCGCTCGCCTTGAGCTGAAGAGCTGAGGGACAGTGCCCAGGCCCAAAGTTCCCATGACCAACAACAACAAAAGACTATCATTCTACCATTTGAGCTACAGCGCCACTTCTACCTTTTTCTGTTTATGTGGTACTGAGTTCTTCATGTATGTTAGACAAACACTCTTCCACTAAGCCACATTCTCAGCCCCATGAGAGACTCTTATCTCCAATAAACTACTCAGAAAAAGCAGGAAGCGGTGCTGTGGATCAATGGCAGAGTGCTAGCCTTGAGCACAGAGAGGCTCAGGGGCAGAACCCAGGCTCTGTGTTCAAACCCCAGAACTGGCATGCATAATAGCTGAGACCAGGTGCAGGTGATTCATGGGTATAATCCTAGCTACATAGGAATCTGAGATCTAAAGGATTTCAGTTCAAAGCCAACCCAAGCAGAAAAGATCTACAAGGCTTGAGCTCCAAAATAAATAGCACAAAGCTATACTGGAGGTATGAGCCCAAGTAGTAGAACACCAGCCAAGCAAACAAGCCAAATAGACATGAAGCCCTAAATCCAATCCCTGGTATGAGAAAGTAAGGGGGAGCAAGCTAAACACTTACGATTCACATCTATAATCCTAGCTACTTGGAAGACAGAGATTGGGGGATCAAGGTTAACTAAGGCTGATTATTGTTGCATGCACCTGTTATACAGCAAAAAAGGGAAGTAAAATATGAGGAGCACAGTCTACACATAAAGCAAGACCTTATCTTGAAAATCTTCAGTGCAGAAATAACCAGCACGTGGCAGTGAGTGCCCGCTTAGAAAACTTGAAGGCTTAAGTTCAAACCCCAGTACTGAAAAAAAAGAGAAAGTACTAAAAAATCATAAGGGAAGACAGGCACTGGTCACTCATTCCTGTAATCCTACCTACTCAGGAGGCTGAGATCTGAGAATCTTGGTTCAAAGCGAGTCCAAGCAATAAGGTCCATGAGACTCCTATCTAATTACTCACCTGAAAATCAGAAGTGGAGCTGTGGCTAAAAGTGATAGAGTGCTAGCCTTGAGCAAAAGTGCTCAGGGACAGTGGCCCAGGCCTTGAGTTTCAAGCCAGAAAAAAAAAAATTCAAAATTTGAAGCCAGTATGAACAAAAGTTTAGGAAATGTCTCTAACCTTTAAGGTTGAGATCAGAGAGAATTGTGCATCTGTTGTAGCCAGACCAGAAGTCTGGATGAACCATGAACCATATCTTGGGCCATTGTGATATTTCCTTTTTCTTTTCCTTTTTTTTCTTTTTCTTTTCTGGTTGTGGGGCTTGAACTTAGGGCCTGGACGCTATCCCTGTGCTTTTTTGCTCAAGGCTAGCACTCTACCACTTTGAGCCACAGTGCCACTTCCAGTTTTCTGGTGGCTAATTGGAGATAAGAGTCTAACCGATTTTCCTGCCCCAGGCTGGCTTTGAACCTGGATCCTCAGATCTCAGTCTCCCTAGTAGCTAGGATTACAGGTGTGAGCTAACAGCATCTGATTGATATATTGTTTTTCTTGATCATAAATTTGGGATGATGGAGGGCATTAAAAGGAAATTGGTGGTATTAAAACTAACAAGACACTTTCTAGATTCCTGGCTGGTGGCATATGAGAGAACTCTCTTTATTGGCTGTAGAAGACAAAGACACAAGGCCCAGAGAGTGAGTCTTACCTTAGGATCACGCCATGTCATAAATAGCCTCTTTGAGCTTTCATCCTTGACAGGTGCTTTGCATGCTGAGCTCCAGGCACCTGCAAAAGCTTCCCCTTAGTCACTCCTTCTATTCCAGCAACATACCTGGCTTCCTCACCAGGGGCCAGACCCTCCACCAGCTGTATCCCTTAAGGAAAGTGCTGGACCTAAATGTGTACAAAATCCCTTTGGTCTCATATGGCTTGTTTCTCTTCATATTAAAGTTCAGGTGGATACCTAAAACTTTATACAGTCAACCAATATGGTAATTCAAATAATTTTTATAATAAGGATTATGTAATTTTAGTACCAACACTGGAAAAATATATCCAGCATCACTAATATATAGAGAAGGGAAGGGAAGGAGTCTTGTTTAATCACAGGGAATAATCCTTTGTCACTGATTTGTGGTTTATTTCTTGCCTTTTTTTGGGGGGGGGGGGTCAGTTATGAACTTGGGGTTGGGGTTGGGGCCTGGACACTGTCCCTGAGCTCTTTTGTTCCAGGTTAATGCTCTACCACATTGAACCACAGCACCACTTCTAGTTTTCTGGTGGTTCATTGGAGATGAGTCTCACAGACTACTTGCCCAGTCTGGCTTTGCACCGTGACCCTCAGATCTCAGCCTCCTGAATAGCTAGGATCAAGCTTTGTGATAAGTACTGGGAATTGTACACAAGATGAAAGAGAGCTTTTGTTTTAATTTATGTTTGACATTTTAGCCAAGTGAACAGAAAATGTAAGGAAGAGACTTGGAATTTATAACAGACTTGTTATTTATAATCTCTTCACTTAGGTGAACTCCCCCTTTTCTTTGTTTTACAAGTGACTAATTTCATCTATTTTAAAATGCAGTTTTTATGAATAGTTTGAATATCCAGCCAAGTCATTGGAAAATGAAATAATTTCATCAAGTGTTGTTTTTTCTTGGTATTTAAGTTGGATACACTTAAAGAAAACAACCTGAAAAATGTGGAAGAGCTGAACAAATCAAAAGAGCTTCTAACAGTTGAGAATCAGAAAATGGAAGAATTCAAGAAAGAAATGTAAGTTTATGTTCTTTGAAAGAAATTATGGCCCTTATTTTAAATTGCAAAAAGGAAAACTTGCCTTGCATACATGAGGCCCTGGGTTTATTTCCTCAGCACCACATAAACAGAAAAAGTCAGAAATGGCGCTGTGGCTCAAGTGGTAGAGCGCTCGCCTTGAGCTGAAGAGCTGAGGGACAGCGGCCAGGCCCAGAGTTCAGGCCCCATGACCGGACTCTAAATAAATAAATAAAACTGCAGAAACTTTGTTTCAGGTTATCTTGTCATATGGAATGGAAGTAACCTCTCTAAAATTTGTTAGAAATGTTTATACTTGCAGTGTTGAGGGGAGAACCTAGCACCTTGATTATGCTGGGCACTGAAGACATCTGCAGCCCCTAGAAATGTTTCTGTGAGTGTTTTCAGAATCAGCCCTGCGTGTCTTGGGGTTGGACTACAGGATCCCTTTTCTTCATGAAGTGCATCTCCCCACTATACACTGGAGACAAGCCAAGTGTCCTTGCCTTTGGACTATGGCATTGGATGAAAATGACACTTTTTTGTTTTGTTTTGGTTTATGGTGCTTGAACTCGGGACCTGGGAACTATCCCAGCCACAGAACCATTTCTGGTTTTCTGGTGGTTAATTGGAGATAGTTGTCTCACAGACTTTCCTGCCTGGACTGGCTTCAAACCGTGATCCTCAGATCTCAGTCTCCTGAGTAGCTAGGGTTACAAGCATAAACCACCAGCATCCAGCTAATAACACTTTTTTTTTTTTTTTTGCCAGTCTTGGGGCTTTAACTCAGGGACTAGTCACTGTCCCTGAGCTTCTTTTGCTCAAGGCTAGTACTCTACCATTTGAGCCACAGTGCTACTTCTGTCTTTTTCTGCTTATGTGGTACTAAAGAATTGAACCTAGGGCTTCATGCATGCTAGGCAAATACTTGCCGCTAAGCCACATTCCCAGCCTAATAACACTATTTTTTTTTTGGGGGGCGGGGTCCGGTCGTGGGGCCTGAACTCTTGGCCTGGGCGCTGTCCCTCAGCTCTTCAGCTCAAGGCTGGCACTCTACCACTTGAGCCACAGCGCCACTTCCGGCTTTTTTTTTTTTTTTTTTTTGCTTATGTGGTGCTGAGGAATCGAACCCAGGGCCTCAGGCATGCAAGGCAAGCACTCTACCACTGAGCCACCTTCCCAGCCCCCCTAATAACACTTTTTATAGGTTATTACTGTAGGATATTTGTCCTCTTTTGGTTGCTGTATTAGCTCTTTATTTTAATTTGCCTTACTTCAGTCTTTTAATTTAAACAATGACTTTCTAAAGACTTGTAAGAGATGAGAATTGTTGAAAGAGAAGGAAGAGGAATGCAAATATCATTATAACAGGCCACATAATGCTGAGACTATATAGGCTCTGTGTGGAGAGTGCTATCTGGAAAATATATACTGGCTTAGGATGATTGCATCTTAAGCTAAAATCTTCTGATTTGTCATGGATTGAAGAAATGAAGTTTACCTGCTGTGTGTGTGTGTGTGTGTGTGTGTGTGTGTGTGTGTGTGTATGTGTGTGTGTGTATACATCATCCCATTATTAAAATTCTGAGGGCACTCAAAAATAATTCTTTGTTTTTAGGGGGGATGTCAGTCATGGGGCCTAAACTCTGGACCTGGGCACTGTCCCTGAGCTCTTCAGCTCAAGGCTAGCACTTTACCACTTGAGCCACAGCACCACTTACAGCTTTTTCTGCTTATGTGGTGCTGAGGAATCAAACCCAGGGCCTCATGCATGCAAGGCATGCGCTCTACCACTGAGCCGCCACCTCAGCCCCTCAAAAATAATTCTGAAGCTGGGTGCTTGTGGCTCACCCCTATAATCCTAGCTACTCAGGATGCTGAGATCTGAAGATCACAGTTCAAAGACAGCCAGGACAGAAAAGTCCCTGAGACTCTTATCTCCAGTAAGCCACTAGAAAACCAGAAGTGGTGCTGTAGCTCAAGTATTAGAGCACTTGCCTTGAGCTGAAGAGCGCAGAGACAGCGCCCAGGCCCAGAGTTCAAGTCCCATGAACAACAACAACAACAAAAAATAAATAAATCTGAAAACACCTACAAAAATATTTCTAGAAGGTAGGAATGTAGGTATATGTACACACATGTACACATACATACACACATATACATACGTGGATCAATTGAATGATTGATCCACAGTTAAAAAATCAATCGTTTCAAGCCAAGCACTGGGGGCTTCTGCCTGTAATATTAGCTACTCAGGAGTCTGAGATCTGAGAATTGTGGTTCAAAGCCAGCTCCTACAGGAAAGTCTTTGGGAGTCTTCTCTCCAGTTAATCACCACAAAGCCAGAAGTAGAGCTGTGGCTCAAGTGGTGAAGTGCGGCCCGTGAGCACAAAAGCTCATGGACAGTACCCAGGCCCTGAGTTCTAGCTTCAGGACCAACACAGAAAATACATTAATCATTCTAGCTTTTGGGGGGTAAAATTCCTTCTCAGTTTTACTTCATTTACTAAATAAATAAAAAATTTCTCTAAAAAGCTCTATTTGGTGTTCCAGGAGAATTTTGTATAGATTTGTACCCTTAAATCATTAATGCCATCCCAGAATGGCATTTTATAAGTTGGTGGAGAAATAAAAATCAAGAAAATATAACATGTCAGGCACTGCCACCCATTAGACAATTGAGTTAAAAATAGATGTGTTCATGCATCAGCAGATGGATTCCTACCCAGATGACTGGATTCAGAATTCAGCCCTGCAGCTTGCTAAGTGGAGTTTAATCAGCACAGACATAAAATTTCAAAATTGTATTGAAACCTTCTATAGCATAAAACTAAAATCCATTTATCAAGTAAAATATTTTGAATATCCATGTGTAAAGGATAATGTATTCTTATATGTTTAGGGCTAATTTTAACAATAAGAAATGTTTTATAAATATATGCTTTTATATGTTGTATACTGATTGTATTCATATTACAAGTTAACTAGCAAGTTATATTTTTGTAACTTCCTTTGATTACAAATTATCATTGTGGAAAGAATACCATCAAAATATAATACCTGTCATTTAATTAGAGGACTATTTCCTTTGGCATTCCATCTCTGTGTCCTAAATATATACTCAGATTCACATCAGCAATTGATTCTGAAAGACACTGGTCAATTAGATCATTGTACTTTTATTTCTGCCAGAGAAAAACAGATTACACATCTATACAGCTAGAATAGAGTGCTGTGGCAGCAAATTATATCACTTTATTAATGTCATACATTTAACATAATTAATAGAAATATTTCTAAAGACAAAACTGTAGTGACCATTTCATTTGTCTTTTTTTAAAGCAAAATTCCTTGTTAGAGGGTAAGCAGGGGAGGTGGGAGGGTGGACATTGTGTTTATTAGGTTTAAAAAATGCAGTAATTGTGGGTGGCCATCTCCTTTCGAGATGCTAGTGCTGGGTGGCCTCTCCTACATGTAGCTAATAGTCTCCTGTTGTTATAGACCCTATTGAGCATGTGACCCAGATCTATTTTCCTCAGTGCTGTGAAGCTGGTTGTCTCCCACAGTTTCCTTGCCTGTCTTGTTTCTATGGTAACCCTGCACTCACTGTCCTTGCAGAGAAACCCTAAAGCAGGCAGCAGCTCAGAAGTCCCAGCAGCTTTCGGCATTGCAAGAAGAGAACGTCAAACTTGCTGAGGAACTGGGGAGAAGCCGAGACGAAGTCACAAGTCATCAAAAGGTCAGTGGAACTTTGGTGTAGGGGTTTCTAGATCTGTTGTGCTGACCTCTGTTGCTGTTTTCGGTATACTTGGAGATTGCTCAGAGATATATGTGGTATGATTGGGCAATTCCAGATGCGATTTCAAGTTACCTGGGCTATATGTCTCCTTGTTTTTAAGCATGCTGCTTTTACATACATTTTAGAATTAATTGACAAGTCCACTAAATACACACACACACCCACACACACACACACCTACACCTGCTGTATCTGATAAGCAAGTAGAAGATAAGATCTTTATTAATCTTCTAGGAAGGCATTTAAGTGCTTGGATTTCAAAATGATTTTTCACTTAAAGTTTTTTTTAATTAGTTTTAAGGAAACCAATTTCAGAATATGGATTTGGTGTGAAGGTTAACAGTTAATTTTAAAAAGAATTCTGCTTCTCTTTAAATTTAAAGAAAATGGTTAAGCCTTTCGCTAATAGACCTGTGAGTATGTGTGCATTCATGTGTGCTGAGACATGTGGAATGTAGGTTATAACTGGGATGAAGCATAATCCATTTGCTCATATTTAAAACAAACACAGAGGTTTCTGACACCCTTTGATTAAACATGGGAACAGAATTTGTTGTAAAAGACAAGATATTCTGCTTTGTATTCTTCTCTAATGTCAAATCAAAGTACAGAATTATTAGCCACATCGGAGCTAGAGCAGCAGCTTGAAATCACAGCTTTAAGTCATTCAAATCATTCATTATTACTTTGTACTACAAAGGGACCCCACACACACACACCAATTATACAAGTATCATTTATAACTTGGATAGAATACTTTCGTGTCACTGTTGAGTGCAGTTTTTGGTGAAAGAACTTTTTGGAGAGTTGATTTCAGACCACAAGGTATTTGTTTTGGCTTCTCAAAGTTTTCCTATTCTTGGGCTGGGTAGAGTGCTTGCCTTGTGTGCATGAAGCCCTGGGTTCGATTTCTCAGCCACATGAGCAGAAAAAACCAGAAGTGACACTGTGGCTCAAGTCATAGGGTACTTGGCTTGAGCTGAAGAACTGAGAGACAGCGCCCTGGCCCAGAGTTCAGGCCCACGACCAGGGGGTGGGAGAGGGGGAAGTTTTTCTATTCTTTTTTTTTTTTTTGTCGTGGGGTTTGAACTCTGGGCTTGGGCACTATTCCTGCGCTCTTCAGCTCAAGGCAAGTACTCTACCGTTTGAACCACAGTGCCACTTTTGGTTTTCTAGTGGTTTATTGGAGATAAGAGTCTCTGGACTTTCCTGCCCGGGCTGGCTTTGAACTGTGATCCTCAGATCTCAGCCTCCAGAGTAGCTAGGATTACAGGCATGAGCCACTGGTGCCCGGCTTTCTATTCTTTTTTTTTTTGTTGTTGTTGGTCGTGGGGCTTGAACTCTGGGCCTGGGCGCTGTCCCTCAGCTCTTCAGCTCAAGGCGAGCGCTCTACCACTTGAGCTACAGCGCCACTTCCGGTTTTCTGGTGGTTTATTGGAGATAGGAGTCTCACGGTCTTTCCTGCCCGGGCTGGCTTTGAACCATGATCCTCAGATCTCAGCCTCCTGAGTAGCTAGGATTACAGGCGTGAGCCACCAGCGCCCGGCTCCGGCTTTCTATTCTTTAATGCCACATTCTTCAGATTTCACAATGATGTGATGCTGTTGGCTGAGAGTAGCTAGCTCATTGACTCTTACTTTGTGACAGGCACACCTAGACGTAGCTGTCATTTCACTTAATCCACATTAAAATTTGTATGATAACACTCTTTTTATCTCCCGTGTAAAAGAGAAAATGTCAGCAAAAAGAAGATTGTAATTTGGTCAATGTTATTTGGCTAGTGGTGTCAAGGGATGTGTGTCATCTTCGGATTTGGGTTTGGGAAAGAATCAAAGAATGTTGACTTACACAGAGTCATTGCTGTCCTTTGATCAGCATGTGAGAAATTGGAGTTCATGAAGAAAAATAGAAGCCCTTTGACCTGAAGAGGTTCTTTTATCCCCCCAGCAACTAGCTAGAGCATCTAAAAACATTACTGTATCCACAGAACTTAGAAGATGAGTTAGGATAGTTCTGAGTCTCTTCCCTTCTTGTTTTTGTTTTTCTTTTTCATTTGATTGTCATTTCATTGAACATCTCTAGTTGAGAGAGTATAGTTTATAATAGGAAGAACACAGAGATCACTCTCTCCTATTGTGACTTGAACTGGACTGATGATTATGTTTCCTATCTCTGTCACTCAGAGCTAGCTATAAGGAACTCTGGAGATCTGACACCTTGAGCATAGGTTTTCAAGGCTCTTCTCCATCCTAACAGCTCTGTTCTCTTTACAGAGGGATTCAGTAGCTTCCTATTGAAAAGGCTTTGTGATTAACAGTTTTAAAATAAGTCATTTTTCAGGGTGCTAAAAAATAGTGCCTCAAAGAAGAGCTAGAAAGTAACTTCTTCCTTTTTTCCCCTTGGACAGTTCTGGGATTTGAAACCTCATGCTTACCAAGCAGGTTTTCTACAACTTGAGTCAGGCCGGCAGCATTTTTGCGTTAATTATTTTCCAATCTCACTTAAAAATCCTTGGCTGCCTTATACCACAGTCTTCCTACCTATGCCTCCCCAGAGCTGGGACCGCAAATATGAACCACTGTGCCTGTTTTGGAGTGTTGTTTAATCTCTAAAATTAGGAGTTTTTGCTGGCTGCTGGCACCTACCTATTCTTTTCTTTCAAACTTGTAAAAAAAAAAAAAAAAAAAAAACATAATCTGGTTTCTGCCTTTATTTTTCACCTCACATTTTTCCTGACCCCTTGCTGACTGCTGTTTGACTCCTGCAATGCCTCTTGCTGAGTGCTAATGAAGTCCAGGTTCTTCCTTTCTGTTCTTTGTGAACATTTGATCTTGCCACCACCTCTACTCCCCGCTTTCCTCCTTGACACCTTCCTCCTGATGTACTAGTCTTTCTCCAGCATCTCCTGGCACTCCTGGCTCCTACTCTTTTTTTTTTCTCTCTCTCTTTTTTTTCCGGCCAGTCCTGGGCTTGAACTCAGGGCCTAGACACTGTCCCTGAGCTTCCTTTGCTCAAGGCTAGCACTCTACCACTTGAGCCATAACACCACTTCTAGCTTTTTCCGTGTATGTGTTACTGAGGACACGAATCTAGGACTTCATGTATGCTAGGCAAGCACTCTACCACTAAGCCACATTCCCAGCTGTGGCTCTTCCTCTTCATATGTCTGTTTGTGTCTTTTCTTCTCCTCTTTCCCCTGTGAGCACTTCCTCACTGTCAGAAGGCCGCCCTGCCTCTACTTTCAAGCTGAGCTGCACAGCTCTTGCTGTGCTCCTTAACGGCATATGTCACATTCAGACTATGAGAAAGAAGGAATGCTGGAGTGTAAGTGAACGGAGTTAGAGTAAACAGATACACAAGTGTAAAATGAGCATCTTGTTTATGGTGAGGGCCCAGGTGCTTTACAGATTTGAGATATATACTTCATGCCTGCTCTTGCTACTTCACATGATTCCCATTGCCTTCACTTTTATAGTTTTTGTTTTACATAGCTGAGGTTGTTAACAGCTTCTTCACCAAATAAACAGGGCATTTCTACACATCAATGGTTGAAGTGTTGATGTGAACTTAAGCTGGGTCATGTAGTTTCAAGATTAATGGAAACTATGCAGAGCATTCTTTTCAGGGGCAATTCTAAAAATAATGTGGATTTTCTATAGAAGTCACTTCAGGTGGTCGCATTGGAGAAGTCTGGTTTGTCATTTCTAAACCTCACATGTATTCTACATTGTGAAAAGGAATTCTAAAAATAAAATGATGTGAATTCTTCAATAGAAACAGGCACCTCAAGTGGTCACTGTTGAGATGCTTGTTTTGTCATTTTCAAACCGTACATGTATTCCACCTTATAAAGATAGCACATTACTGATCTGTCACTATGGGAACAGTTCCGAATTCCCCCTGGTAATTTGCAAAATGAGGCTCCAGCTTGCTTTTGGAAACTGGACAGGGATTAGATGAGTCAGTACTGTATATCATGAGCAGCTTCCTCAACACAGGTCACAGCAGAGGCAGTGTATAAAAACTAGGGCAGCTCACACCTGTAACCCTAGCTACTCAGGAGGCTGTGATCTGAGGATTGTGGTTCAAAGCCAGCCCAGGCAGGAAAGTCTGTGAGACTCTTATCTCCAATTAACCACCAGAAAACTGGAAGTGCACTGTGGCTCAAGTGGTAGAGCATTAGCCTTGAGCTAAAGAGCTCAGGGATAGCACCCAGGCCCAGAGTTCAAGCCCCATGACTGACCAAAAAAAAAACCCAAAAACTAGCATTAGCTCTAAATTGATCTATGAATAATGGATGCCTTTTAAATAGGCCTGATTTCCCAGACACAAATGTTCTAAGAAAGGAAGGCTGTTTTTAGCCTCTCATATTATTTTGCAAAATTAGTGATAATAAACTGTCAGAATTCTATCTGCTCTTAGGATTCTGAAATTGGATTACAGAATCTCTTCCTTTTAATACTAAATGATACACAGGGTCTAAAACAATACCAATTGAACAACGAAATTGTTGAAATTGTTTTGTGTAGCTGGATGGGAAAGTGAGAAGAGGTGAGATTGGAACATATTGTTAACATGTGTGGGCAATAAAAAGAAATCCTTTGCTATATAGCTAAATGAAGTAAAAATATATCTTAGACTAGTGTTAAAGTTCAATGTTAGAGCACTTGCTTACATCTTCAAGGCCCTGAGTAATGTCTCCAGTGCCACAAAAAGGAAAGAGAGGAGGAAGAGGGGAGAGAGGGAAGGAAGGGAGAGGAGACATAGGTAGTTCTCACCTGTAATCTTAGGAGGCTGAAATCTGAGCATCGAGGTTCAAAGCCAGGCCAGGAAGAAAAGCCTAGGAGATTCTTATCTCAGTGGCTCAGTGTTAGCCTAGCCTGTTTGAGGTCATGGGTCTAATCTCTATAATTACAAAAAATAATTTAATAAAATAAATGCACAGTACAAACCTAGTAGTATTTCTTAGAATGATGTGTCTTGTAGTAAACTTTTTATATTCTTCCATTTTTCTTTCTCTTGTAAAGTTAAATTTTGCTTTATAAAAAAAAAAAAAAAAATCCCTCTGATTACCTTGCCCATGTAATGGTAACCCCTCTGTAGGGTATTTTCACAATTAAAAAAAAATCCCTCTAGCCGGGTGCCAGTGGCTCGTGCCTGTAATCGTAACCACTCAGGAGGCTGAGACCTGAGGATCAAGGTTCAAAGCCAGCCCAGGCAGGAAAGTCCGTGAGACTCTTATCTCCAATGAACCGCCAGAAAACCAGAAGTGGCGCTGTGGCTCAAGGTAGAGTGCTAGCCTTGAGCTGAAGAGCTGAGGGACAGCGCCCAGGCCCAGAGTTCAAGCCCCATGACCAAAAAAAAAAAACAAAAATCCCTCTTACTACATGTAATGGGTATGTCATTCAGCTAATGTTGATTATGTTTACTTCTAAGTGATAGAATTGAGGAGCTTTTTTCTTTCTTTTTTTGAACTTTTTCTATATAATATGGCTTAAATTTGTTTAAAAAGAACATGTATTGTTTTAACAAAAGTATTCTTTGAGGGGCTAGGAAGGTGGCTCAGTGGTAGAGCACTTCCCTTGCATGCATGAGGCACTGGGTTCGAGTCCTCAGCACCACATAAGCAAAAAGAAAAAAGCCGGAAGTGGCGCTGTGGCTCAAGTGGTAGAGCACTAGCCTTGAGCTGAAGAGCTGAGGGACAGCGCCCAGGCCCAGAGTTCAGGCCCCACAACCACACCCCAAAAAAAAAAGTATTCTTTGAGCCAGGTGTCAGTGGCTTATGCCTGTAATCCACAAAAACCTCCTTGGTCAGTTGTTGTATTCTGTCTTGAGCAGGCCATATGACACTGGCAAAGATAGCTCTACCACTTTGAGAATTGGAACCCTAAACTGTCTGCTAACCACCGTCTGCTAATCACATTACCAGATTGCCCTTGAGACAGGGATCCCAGAAGTATATTCCTTTCCTCTCCCCCACCCTCCTTTTGTTTCAGGAAGGGCTTTGCTCCAAAATACTGGGGGGTCCTCTTTTCTCCTCATTACTTTCTCCACAGCAGAAGTCTGTCTGTCTGTGTATCTGTGGTAGACGAGACTGGAAAACCTCACACAAAAGGAATTTTATTTTATGCTGTCAAGGTCGAGCTATTATTTTGGACTTCAGAGCACTGCTTAGAGAAGAGACTAAAATATCCCAAATGAATCACCTTAGCAAAGGAATCAGTGAGAAAAGAACTGGGTTTAGCATTGGCTCAATTATACAAGTTCAGTCGGGAATTCCTCATTCTGTGAGAGCCTGGCTTCCATGTGCCACAACTAACTCATTGAGCGCAGGGCATTCTGTCTGGCACATTCGTTTACTCAGTGCTTCCTTAGAAGTGCCTACTAAGTGTCTGTTCCAAAGACAGGAGATAGCAGTGAACAGAACAGAATAGTGTTCATTCTTTCTTGGAGATTTTTATTCTAGAAGTTTAAACTTACAGTAGCAGGACTTGTATATGTAACGACTTTGAACATACACACGGCTCCCATTTTCTCAAGATAGTATTTGTCTAAACTTAAGTGATATGTAAGGCAAGGTACCCACCATGTTGCTATTGTTTTTTGTTGTGGTTGTTGTTTATTTGATAATACTAGAATTTGAACACAGAGCCTTGTGTTTGCTAGGTAGGTGCTCTGCCAATGGAGTTAGTTTTCTTTCCACTCTTTTTGCTATCTTTCCCTTGAAATGTTTTAATATTGCTTTGAATTGCTCATGCAGCAAAATCAGCTATCTTAGTGGAATAGGAATGTGGAGAACCTCTACCCAAAAGCTTAAACATTAACCTCTAGATTTCATAATATACATTTATGTTCAACATATGTGTGTATGTGTATACAGTTAAGAATTTTTAAAGTTGGGGGCTGGGAAGGTGGCTCAGTGGTAGAGCGCTTGCCTTGCATGCTCGAGGCCCTGGGTTCGATTCCTCAGCACCACATAAGCAAAAAGAAAAAAGCCGGAAGTGGTGCTGTGGCTCAAGTGGTAGAGCTCTAGCCTTGAGCTGAAGAGCTGAGGGACAGCGCCCAGGCCCAGAGTTCAGGCCCCACGACCGGACCCAAAAAAAAAAAAAAAAAAGAATTTTTAAAGTTGAAGGTGTGGAGTTGTGAAGACTTGCCTTGCAAGAGTAATGTCCTAAGTTCAATCTAATACTGGTCAGGTGCCGCCACTTCTGGCTTCTTTTGTGTAGTGTTTTTGGAGATAAGAGTCTCAAAGGGTTTCCTGCCTGGGCTGCTTCAAACCAGGATCCTCACATCTCAGCTTCCTGAGTAGCTAGGATTATAGGCATGAGTCACCAGTGCCAGGTGAGATGAGATTCTTATCTCCAATTAATCACCAAAAAAAATGGAATTAGATCTGTAGTTCAAGTGGTAAAGCTGTAGCCTTGAGCACAACAGCTCAAGGATAGTGCCTAGGTCTTGAGTTCAAGTCCCAGAACTGGCACCAAAACAATAACAACAAAACCTCTAGGACTGGCAAAATGTATTTTTTTTAATATGAAGACCTCATAGTAAAGTACGGTTCATAATTTATACATAATTGTTAGCTACACTCATTTATACATAGTTTACATAGGTAATAATTGTTATAGCTTCACTCAATAAACTAGAAGCTTAAATTCTGAGCTTTGGAACCCATTATGTAATCATTAGGTTATCCGTTTTATTTTTTAATATTTATTTTATATAAATTCATTAAAGCCTGTTCTTTCTAGTACTTCACATATCTGATATCTCTTCTTTTCACTGTGTATGTGTGTGTGCATGCACCATTCCTAGAGCTTGAACTCAGGATCTGAATAGTGTTCCTGAGCCTTTTTACTCATAGTGCTCTACCACTTGAGCCACAGCGCCACTTCTGGCTTTTTTGGTAATTAATTGGAGATAAGAGACTCAAAGACTTTTCTTCCTGGTCTGGCTCTTGTGATCCTCAGATCTCAGACTCCTGAGTAGCTAGGATTACAGGCATGAGCTACTAGTGCTCTTCTTTTTTATTAGTATATATTAGTAAAGTAGGTTATTTTTTTATGTTAAAAAGACACATATGGAGGGCTGGGAAGGTGGCTCAGTGGTAGAGTGCTTGCCTTGCATGCATGAGGCCCTGGGTTCGATTCCCCAGCACCACATAAACAGAAAAAGCCGGAAGTGGCACTGTGGCTCAAGCGGTAGAGTGCTTGCCTTGAGCTGAAGAGTTGAGGGACACCGCCTAGGCCCAGAGTTCAGGTCCACAACCGGCAAAAAAAAAAAAAAAAAGAAATATATGGGGGCTGGGAAGGTGGCTCAGTGGTAGAGTGCTTGCCTTGCATGCATAAGTCCCTGGGTTCAATTCCTCAGCACCACATAAGCAGAAAAAGCTGTAAGTGGCACTGTGGCTCAAGTGGTAGAGTGCTAGCCTTGAGCTGAAGAGATAAGGGACAGTGCCCAGGCCCTGAGTTCAGGCCCCACTACTGACAAAAAAAAAGAAAAAAAGAAGACTAGGCTGGGCGCTGGTGGCTCACACCTGTAATCCTAGCTACTCAGGAGGCTGAGATCTGAGGATCTCGGTTCAAAGCCAGCCCTGGCAGGAGAGACCATGAGACTCCTATCTCCAATAAACCACCAGAAAACTGGAAGTGGCGCTACATGTAGCTCAGGTGATAGAGCGCTCGCCTTGAACTGAAGAGCTGAGGGACAGCGCCCAGGCCCAGAGTTCAAGCGTCACGACCGACCAAAAAAAAAAAAAAAAAGAAGACTCATATGGACTGGGAATGTGGCTTAGTGGTAGAGTGATTGCCTAGCATGCATGAAGCCCTGGGTTCAGTTCCTCAGTACCACATAAATAGAAAAAGCCAGAAGTAGCACTGTGGCTCAAGTGGTAAAGTGCTAGCCTTGAGCAAAATAAGCTCAAGAACAGTGCCCAGTCCTAGAGTTGGCAAAAAAAAAAAAAAAGACAACTTTCATTAACAGTATGAACTGAAACTACTGTTTGGCTGAAATGTGTTGTGCTATTCTTTCTGGTACTCAAGATGTCTTCTCTCATAGGATTAACTACATGAGTCCTTGGTTATCTATCAAGGAAGAATAACAGGATTTTACAACCATAGGACTACTGGAAATTCTTCTGTAACCTCTTTGTTTTATTTATGACAAACAAGTGATTCATTGACTATGTGTTGATTTAATAGATAAGTGAAGCCCACACAGGCCAAATGACCCACTTATCTAGTCCTCTGTACACTAATGATACTTGACTGATGCTGATACTGATCAAACTAGTGGAACCAGACTCTTAATTGTAAAGCTGGTACTCATTTAACAAATTATTATTTGAAACTAAAGATTTGTCATGTAGCCGGGCACCGGTGGCTCATGGTTGTAATCCTAGCTACCCAGGAGACTGAGATCTGAGGATGCAGTTCAAAGCCAGCCCAGGCAGGAAAGTCCATGAGACACTTATCTCCAATACACCACCAGAAAACTGGAAGTGGCACTGTGGCTCAAGTGGTAGAGCGCTAGCCTTGAGCTGAAGAGCTGAGGGACAGTGCCCAGGCCCAGAGTTCAGCCTATGACCGACCAAAAAAAAAAAAAAAGATGTGTCATGTAGTATTCAAAGTGCTAATTTTTAATATTTTTCTCAGGCCTCTAAGGAAGAGAGGAGTCAAAAAGTCATAGGTGATTGTAAATTGCTGTCCCCTTGTGCTTAGTGCTTACTGGTTGCCTGTTCTGCTTCACTGCCTGTGTAGACAGCCAGTCTCTTCTGCTGTCGTAATGATTGGGTGTGACATGTGGAGGGAGAAATCGGCCTCTGAGGGCTTGTTCTGAACTGAACTCTTTTTTTGTTGTTTGTTTTTATTTTCAGTTGGAAGAAGAAAGATCTGTACTAAACAATCAATTGTTAGAAATGAAAAAGAGGTAGGTTTTTTTTCTGTTTTTATTTTGTGTGTATGTGAGTGTGTTTGTGTTAAGGAAAACTTCAGAAATTGATGTGTATAATAACTTGTAGAAAACAAATGACCTTTTATGTTTAGAAAGTAGCATGTGTATGTTTGATATACTTATCATTGAAAGATTATGAAAAGTTCTGTTGCATTTACTCAGAAGTAGTCTAAAATCAGATTGTTTCATACTACCCTTTCCTCCTAGTCCTAGTAACTAAAATACTGTAATTTTATTGATAATAATTATTGTACATAGAATACTGATTCCATTAGATAAAAATTATAGTTCTTCAATAGTAATGGGTAATACCATTTTAAATGTTTGTATTTATTTTCCAAAAAAGTAACTTATTCTATACTATTCAAATGGAAGTGCAGTGTAATTTTCCTGGTACTTTTGAGAAAGGATGATGATGATGGCCCACAGAAATTAAACATTCAAAAGCCTGGTGTTCGTGCATGCTGATGGGCTTTGCTCTTTTGAAACACAACAGATTTAGGTCTGGGAGTATGACTCAAGTGAGACCAATCTTGCCTAGCAACTACATGGCCCTGCCCTCAGATTCCAGTGCCACAAAAAAGTATATATTAGAAAATAAAATATGCAGATTTATCTAGAGTAATCTTGTTTCACCTGTGCCATGTAGGTATAGTTTGTGCAGTCATTGAGAACCACAACCTGCCCAAAGGTTTGCTGCAGAATTCTGACTACATGTGGATCACAACAGTGGTATGGGATTTTCGGAAGGAAGAAAGGAAGGAAGGAAGGAAGGAAGGAAGGAAGGAGAAAATAAGAAATCTAAAAATACAGCTCAGTTTTAGAAGGCTTGCCTAGCATGTACACAGCCCTAGGGGTGGGAGAAGCAAACGTCTAAGAACAGCTACCTAAGAGCTGAGCCCAGGTGGCTCTTGCCTGTAATCCTAGCTACTCAGGAGGTTGAGATCTGAGGGTTGAAGTTCGAAACCAGTTGGGGCAGAAGAGTCTGTGAGACTCTTAACTCTAATAAACTACTCAAAAAAAAAAAAAAAAGCCAGAAGTGGTGCTGTGGCTCAAGTGGTAGAATGCTGCCCTTGAGCAAAAGCTCAGGGACAGCACCCAGGCCCAGAGTTCAAGCCCCACAACCAGCCAAAAAGGAAAAAAGAAGGAAAGCTAACAGTTCTCCCATGCTCTTACCTCAGCAGTGTATTGTTTCTCCTGTCAGGACAGAGGGGCTTTCCCAGTTCATTGGCCATAGGTGCATGTGTCTTACAGTTGGGAATTAGGATTTTATTTAGTCCACCAATATATTTGGATTATACTACATTCTAAAGGATATCACTATGGTGTTGAACACCAGTAACCCAAACTCTCAGGAGATGTTGAGGCAGCAAGAGGAACAAAAGTTTAATTCCAGCCTGGACTACATAGTGCACTCCAGGCCAGCCAGAGGTACAGATTAAGAACAAGAAAGAAAGAAAGAGAGAGGAAGGAAGGAAGGAGAGGAAAGAGGAAAAAAAGGGAGAGAGAGAGAGAGAAGACAATCTTAGCTAATCAGGAGCCTGAGATCTGGGAATTGAAGTTGAGAGGCCAGCCTTGCCAGACAGATCTGAGACTCTTAATTCCATTTAACTAGCAAAAGTCTGGAAATGGAGCTGTGTGTCAAATGATAGAGTTCCAGCCTTGAGATAAAAAGCCAAGCAGGTTCAAACCAAGTATCAAGCCCCAGTATCAGCATAAAAGCATACAATAAATGAATGAATGAATAAATAAATAGGACCAAACTACCAGAAAGTATACTGGATCCCGGATGCCTCTCTTTCTCTGTGTTTGGTTAAGACATATCTAGATTCCTTCTTCCAAATTTCAGTGAGGTGTGAGCTCACAGGTTCAACCAGGCACCCACCCCACACCACCATAAGGGGCGGAGCTGCTGTACCTTCCCCTGTGCTGCTCTCCAGTCACTGCTCTGTCCCATGGGCCTTGGAGTATTTTATTTTATACTTCGTTGTTCTTTCTTCCTCCTCCACTTCCTCTTTTTTTTTGTTGTTGTTGTTGTTGTTGTTGGTCATCGGGCCTGAACTCTGGGCCTGGGCACTGTCCCTCAGTTATTCAGCTTGAGGCTAGTGCTTTACCACTTGAGCCACAGTGCTACTTCCACCTGCTTTTTCTGCTTATGTGGTGCTGAGGAATTGAACCCAGGGCCTCATGCATGCGAGACAAGCACTCTACCACTGAGCCACCTTCCCAGCCCCCCCCCCTTTTTTTTTGGTTCATGGGATTGAACTTAGGGCTCAGTGATTTCCAAACAAATGCTTTTTACCACTGGAGTCATACCCAGTCCATACTTTTGCTTCTTTAAATTAAGACCCTCACTCACCCAAGGAGTTACCTAGAACATGGGGAAAACCCAAAACTTGTTCCTCTGGCTGTCTGATACGGGGACTGATGGTGAAGTATCCAACACTTCATAATTCTTAAACTCATAAACTCATGAAGATGTTGTGGAACTTGTATCTTAAAATAAAACTGAAAAAGCCAGAAGTGGTGCTGTGGCCAACTGGTAGAGTGCTAACCTTGAGTAAAAGAAGTTTAGGTTGGGCACCGGTGGCTCACGCCTGTAATCCTAGCTACTCAGGAGGCTGGGATCTGAGGATCACGGTTCAAAGCCAGTCTGGGCACAAAAGTCCATGAGACTCTTACCTCCAATAAACCACTAGAAAACCAGAAGTGGTGCTGTGGCTCAAGTGGTAGAGCGCTCGCCTTGAGCTGATGAGCTGAGGGACAGCGCCCAAGCCCAGAGTTCAAGCCTCATGACCAAAAAAAAAGCAGCAGCAGCTTAGGGACAGTGGCCAGGCCATGAATGAGTTCAAGCCTCAGGACTGGCAAAAAAAAAAAAGAAAGAAAGGAAATGAAAGCCCCTGAAGTTAGGCAGCTTCCAAGGATGCAGGACTAATGTAATAAATGATGGATGTGGGCTTGAAGCTCCCATCTTGAGGTTTTATATGAATTCCCTCTTTGTATTTTAAAAAATATATATTTTAATGATTATTTTTCCTTTTTCAGTTTTTGTTTATGTGGTACTGAGAAATCAATCCCAGGCCTCATTCATGCTAGGCAAGTGCTCTACCACTAAGCCACATTCCATGCCCTTCCTATACTCTTAATTTCTACCTATCTTTTAAGATTCTGTTTTATTAGTCCATTCTCACCATGTACCTGACTAAACACGCTTTTCAAAACATAATTAGGTCTGTGATTTTTTTTATGGTTTAAAAAGATGGGACAAACTTGAGGCCTGTGAAATTCTCTTCTTAACTCTCAGTCTGCTCCTGTTTCATGTCCAACATCTTTAAGAGAGCATCTCTTAAAAAATTGTTGTTAATTTTGTCCCAGTGTGGTTAGTATACACCTGTAATCCCAGCACTTGGGAAGTGGAAGAGGATTGTAAGTTTGAGGCCAGCTAGACTACATAGCAAGATTCTGTCTCAAAATGAGCAGGGGAGTCTCACAGCATGGCCTCGAGTGTAAGGCCTTGAGTCAATCCCCAGCTCCACCCCCCCCCCCTAAAAAAAAATGTCTGTTGACATACGTGGCCCCTTGAAATTGTTTAGTACAAGACAGCAGACACCCGGCTGCTTCCTATCTGCTTTCCTCAGTCATCTGCCTCTGTTGATAATTTTGTTTGTATGGCCTGTAATAATGTTATAAATATCCACTGGGCCCTGGCAGAAAAAAGTTCCCATCCCTGAATACTTCCCAAGTGTTGGTTTTAAGGATCTGTATATAGATGTATGTGTGTAATGGTGAAGTAAAATTATCTATTGACTAGAGAGTTTTGCAAAGAACTTGATGCTCTTAAGAGCCCTGCAGGTGTTTAAATCACAAAGTTATTTGAAATGTGGTTTATGTAAAACCTGAATGCCCGGTCAGTGGTTTGATTTAGAAGTGATCATTGGATGTACATAGTCAGGACTGGATGTACTCACCCCCTCAAATGGCATGATGTGGACGCACAGAACATCCTCCTGACTAAAGGGTGACTAGCTACTAATTACCAGAGGCATTCTGGACTTTTTGGCATAGGTGACCATTGGGTTGCAAGCTAGAGTATAGGATTTTCTTCAAGCTCCAAAACTGGTTGGCAGTTTTTAGAGTAGGTTTCAAGTTGCAGATGGATGAGGTAGTAAACTTTGACTTGCTTGAACTGCTGAAATGGAGGAGTCCGCTCTCCCTGGCTCTCCAGCCTAACTGGGGACTGGTTTGGCACTTCTGGTTCTGGACTTGGTCACGTCAAAGGAACACCAAGTCACAGTCTTAGAATGGGCTTTGGGGAGTTAGAATTCATTCTGGCCACATAAATGCAAGATCTCTGTCAGAAGTGAAAACTGGTTTGAAACACTGCTCCAGTTCTAAAGTGGTCCATGCCCCAGCTCACTCAGCTCGCTGTGGGTTGTAACTGTCTGACTGTCTCCAAGCTTGCGCTACTTACCAACGCTCATTTCACCCTCTCTTTTCCCTTTCCTACTCTTGCTTCCTTTGCTATATCTGTGTGTCTTTCATGGTAAGACTAAAGAAAGTCTATCCACGTTATAATAAATAAATTTCATATATTTTTAGTAAACCAGATTGTTGTATATATTTTTGGCTGCCTTTGTCCCTCTGTGTCTTGCTTTTGTTTTGTAAAATATACTCAATAGTGTATACAAACACACACACACACACACACACACACACATTTCTTTTAGATGTCTATATACAGCAAAGAACTTCAGTGCAAATTTAGTTCTTACTGTATTTGCATTTCTCTTCATGTTTCTAATATTTGGTTCTTGTTATCTTGCATTTTTTTTAACGCTTGCCCAGTAACACTTTAAGGTATTTGCTTCATTACTGGAATTAATTTCTTCTGTATGTAGTAAGAAAAGAATCTGCGTGATCTCTTCCCCCGGGGGATGGGCAAAGAGATTTCTGGCTCTATAGCCCTTCTTTCATGCTGTGTTCCTCTCCCCAGGCCATTGTAGCCAACATGGCTTAAACATGATGTTGGCAGAGATGGCTCACATTGTGGAACTAGGGCCTAGAGATAAGACTGAGAGTCCAGCGATGAAGCTGTCAACAGAGATGAGCTTCCCAGGTCCCTGTGTCCTGTCATCTAGCAGATCTCTTTCTTAATCATGTGTCCTGTGGTAATTTATACAGAAACATTCTTCTGGCCATCTTTGCAGGGAACAGCCTGACTGAGAGGTTGTATGGATTTGGGATGATGAGCACAGTGTGGTTGGTGGCCAGAGGACGCCTGTCCGGTTTCCCTTCTGCCAGCTCAGCTCTTGGTATTTGTCCTCCCCTAATAGTGTATGAGGATTTGGCCAAGTATACACGAATTTACATCTGTCCTCAATGACCCCAAATCTTGATTATTATTATTATTTTTTTTTGGTCAGTTGTGAGGCTTGAACTCAGGTCATTGATGCTGTCCCCGAACCTCTTTGTGCTCAAGGCTAGCACTCTATCACTTGAGCAACAGTACCCACACTTCTGGTTTTTGAGTGGTTAAATGGAGAGGAGAGCCTCATGGGGAACTTTTTTGCCTAGGCTGGCTTTGAACCATGATCCTCAGGTCTCAGCCTCTTGAGTAGCTAGGATTACAGGCGTAAGGTACCAGTGTCTGGCAAGTCTTGATATTTTTAAGTAAATATATTTAAAATTAGATGTTTCAAATTTGAGTTGGACTTTTAGCAAGTGAAAGTCCAGAAATCATTTCTGCATTATAACAAACTCAAATAAGTTGAGTATGGCATCAAATACTCTCCATGGGGCAGAGAGTCGTGGATTAAAGTTATTTTGCTTTAGCCTAGACAAGGCCCCATTTCCTAACAAAGCAACAAGGTGTTACCCCTTCGTGATTCAATACATCTGAAGCTCACCTTTTTCCCCTATTTTTTTCTCTTTTTTACTTCAAGAAATTTCTTTAAGTATCAGATTCTTTTCTTACTACTTACAATTCTGGGGTGTAAGTGTAAGCCACACAACAAGATAAAAACAACACTTATATTTTCATCTTTGTGTAGAATTTCAATTTACCATAAACTATAAGAATTCTGTAATTCGTGTGCCGGATATCTTGGGTCTCACTAACCAGACATACTTTCTGCCATTTCTAACCTGGGCCTCAGTTTCCTACTCCTCCAGTTGGTTCAAAACCAGACTATACCTCACATGCTCTGCTAGTTGCCTGTAACAGAGCCAGAATGGCTGCATGTTATGCTGCGGACTCTCCTTTGAGGACTGTCTGTGCTAATGTAGTGTCTGAGGTTGTGCCCCCAAGGGCTAGCTTAGGAACTGCTTCAGTTTTGTTTTCCCTGAGGTAGTTTTGTGTTACAAGGTCTGCTTTCTGCTGCTTTACTGTGCATGTAATATGAATTTTCCATTTATAGAATGGTTGTACCGGTAGTGTAGCCAGACCTCAGTACCCACTCCATGCTGCCCCCCACTCCACACACCACCCCCCCCACCCCCCACCCCCCACCCCCCACCCCCGAACATCTCACATAGCCATGGTGAGAGCATAGATTTATTAAGCTTTCCCAGTTTGTCACTTTCAGCGTTTCCTCATCCAGAAGCCAAACTAGAACCACATTGCACTTGGGTCTTCTGTCTCTTTAGTCTCTTCCAACCAGTGACAGTGCCTCACTCAGTCTTTCCTTCTTTCATGAACTTGACCCATTTGTACACATGTAATTTTACAACAAAGCTTCAAATATGTACCCATGTAAGCATGTGCAAGCCCCTCCCTCTTGAGCTGACTTGCAGCTTACCCTCCCTTCCCATGTCTCTTGAGTCCCTCCCTTTGTCCACCCACTGCCTAGACTCTAGGGGGGAATGCCCCCCTCAATAAAGGCTTCACCTGCCTGCTGTGAAACCAGAGTCCATGTTTTTGCCCCCCTAATTCCAGCCTCCATTCTCCCACTGAATCACCTTTCCGTGTCAGCCTTTCTGCAGTGTGATTTCTGTAAGCAGCTGACATCCTCTCAGATACTGTGGCTAAAGTAGTAATCCTTCAGTTTGGATAGTAATCATCTTTGTTGCTGTTTTGGCCCACATCATCTTAAAACTCATTCTTGAAACTTGCTACAAAGTTACTGAAATTAGTGAGAACCAAAGGATATTTCCAGCATAAAACTGCTCTGCATGGCATCTGTGTAATTGCTTTGCATGTATGTATTTTAATTGTCATTGCTTGGTAATAATTTATTCCAGATGTAACAATATTCAATTTGGGGCTCTATTTTGATATAATTTGGGGGAGGGTTGCAACAGTTTTTTTTTAAATTTACATCTTCCAAATTTATTAACTTGTCTCTTTAAGTTCAAATGGATACAATGATAATGCAGATTCTGGCATGTCTCTGCATAGGTAACTTTTTCTCCCCTCACAGTAAGTAAAATTTCAAGTAAAAATTTGCAAGCACAATACTTTTAATGCCCTATAAAGCTTCCTATTTATAAATTTTTACATTAACTAAACTTATTTGAGTGTCTGTTTTAGAATAGTTGTGCACTGGTGGCTCTCAGTTGATGTCTGGAACTCTTTTTAACTCTTTGGTCTTTTAGAGAATCAAAGTTCATAAAAGACGCTGATGAAGAAAAAGCCTCCTTGCAGAAATCCATCAGCATCACCAGTGCTTTGCTCACAGAGAAGGACGCAGAGCTGGAAAAGCTGCGGAATGAGGTGGGCTACAGGGGGGATGTGTCCTGCAGCAGCTTTGACCCCACCTCCCATCCTAAGTCCAGCCACCGTGTTTGTTGCAGGTCTCAGTGCTCAGAGGAGAAAATGCCTCTGCCAAGTCCTTGCATTCCGTTGTTCAGACTCTGGAGTCTGATAAGGTGAAGCTTGAGCTCAAGGTAAAGAACTTGGAGCTTCAACTCAAAGAAAACAAGAGGCAGCTCAGCAGCTCCTCAGGTAATACAAAGCTGAACTGACACTACTGCATGCCTGGCACCCCTCCTTTCACCCCACTCTCCTCCAGGAGCCATGGGCCTCCAGTGCAGCCAGCTCTTGCTCTGCCCCCTGCTGTCCCTGGCTCTCCCACATTAACTCATCAGGGCTAGTCATAGTCTAGGCCCCACACAGGGGCACGCTTGATGCTTCTCTGGGGCATTTCCAGTCTCTGAGTACTGCCACACATCAGACAGCCGCCATCATGGCAGCAACCACAGCAGGCTCTGAAAGTACACACAGGGATGGAGGACAGAGAAGGCCCCTGTGCAGGAGGGTGACCACTTGCTTCTTAAAGTCAGGTGGAAGGGGCAGACATTTGTATGCAATAGATGAGTAGGCTAAAAGGGATAGGGCAGGTGTCTGTGAAGACCCTGTGGGCCTCTGGCCAGATCACAGAGGGCCATGTGGGAATAAAGTTTTTCACACCTCCCTTACTCAGTAAGGAGAGTAAATTGCAATGTCATTCACCCCCCTCTACTTTGTCTTATTTTAATATAAGGTAATACTGATGCTCAGGCAGAAGAGGACGAAAGAGCCCAGGAGAGCCAGGTAATGTTCCTAGCTTACTGCTCTGCTGTCTTTCCGATTTTCTTATGAACAGACAATTCATTCTTATTTCAAACATTCAACAGTATTAAAAAAATATGTACAATAATCAGTCTTCCACACTTTCTTCTGTTCAGTTCCTCAACCCTCAGATAATTACTGTTACTCCTATCTTGGTTTTGCAGAGATTTAAAGAAATAGTCTTGGCACTTGCAAGGATGAGGATTCCTTAAGCCTAAAAGACTAATTCACAGACACACACATGTGCACACATACACATATATTCCAATACAATCCCCTCGCCCGTCACCTCATTTTTTTACATAAGTAAAAAAATACCACCTACACCATTTTGTGCCTATCTTTTGTAGCTGTATAGTATTCCATTGTATGGATGTACCATAATTTTAGTCAGGTTAACATGGCATTTGGGATGTTTCTAATCCTTTGGGCATATTATAAGTGACAGCTTTCGATCTCTTAACTTACTCTAGGTTAGTTCTGTCTGCTTAGTGTGTGTCTCATGGGTGTAGCAGAAAATTAACATTGTTTTCTCTCCCTTTCCTGCTTCCATTTGTTTCTGCTGCTGCTGACAACACTTTTCCTCCCATCAGCAAATGGTTTGTTTTATGTTTCATAATTTGTGTGCACATGATGTGTTGGTGTGTATGGCTTTCTGCTGTATGTCCATGTTGTGGTTTTTCTTCTTCCTGAAACGGGGCTCCTAATAGGACTTAGAAAATGAAGTTTGTGAAGTAAAAATAGGCTCAGTGTCTGCCTTCAAAGGCGCCTCACTGATGCTGAGAGTAGCAACCTACGCAGGACCGCCACCCTCGTGTACTATGCCCCAGCAGGAGAAAGACCAAATGCTTCTTTAAAACTACTAGAAACGAGCCAGGTGCCAGTGGCTCACGCCTGCAATCCTTAGCTATTCAGGAGGCTGAGATCTGAGTCTCATGGTTCAAAGCCAGCCTGGGCAGAAAACTCCGTGAGACTCTTATCTCCAATGAACCACCAGAAAACTAGAAATGGCACTGTGGCTCAAGTGGTAGAGTGCGTGCCTTGAACCGAAGAGCTGAAGGACAGTGCCCTGGCCCAGAGTTCAAGTCCCATGATGGACAAAAAAAAAAAAAAAAAATACTAGAAACACACGCTTTATAGATCAGTCCAGAAATGGTGGTCAAAAGAGAACTGACATAGCCAGGTGCCGATGGCTCATGCCTGTAATCCTAGCTACCCAGGAGACTGAGTTCTGAGGATCGCTGTTCAAAGCCAGCCTAAACAGGAAAGTCCGTGAGACTCTTATCTCCAATAAAACACTAGAAAACTGGAAGTGACAAGTTTATCTATTTCTATCTGGAAACATTCAATAAAATGTCATTTAAACTGGTTGTCACTATAAAATAGTTACTCAGTATGAAAAGTTGGAGAGAAACTAAGCAACCTCCTGAGTCCCTTCGTAGAGCTGTAGCCTCACTTATATTCAGTTGTTTGTCAGATAGTCCTGGCTTTCTCACTCTAGGGAGCAGAACTCAGTAGCTGCCTTGTCGGCCCCTCTGATGTCTTCATTTAGCCTGAGGGTTTACCCCCACTGCTACTATGTGTTTTGGACACACACTCATAGCTCACTGTTTCTTTCTCTTTTTTAATAAATAGATTGATTTCCTAAATTCAGTAATAGTGGACCTTCAAAGGAAGAATCAGGACCTGAAGATGAAGGTAGAGATGATGTCAGAAGCGGCTCTCAATGGCAATGGGGATGACCTGAACAACTATGACAGGTACTGTGTGCGGAGCCGGCTTCAGCGTGTATGCCTAGGATGAGCTTCCCCAGCAGATTGCCAAACCAAAAGAAACAATTAGACCCCTGTCAGTCTGGCAGACTGTAGTTCTTTCTTGTTTGTTTGTTTTTTTTTAATCGTTATTAGAAAGATGTTGTTATAAAGAGAAGTTAGTTACCTAAGTCAGCTAATGAGTACATTTCTTTTTGGACTATGTCACCCCTTGCTTTGTTTTCAAATTTTTTTCCCTATAAACATGCTAAGCAGGTATCCTACCTATGGAGCTACCTACACTCTCCCGGTCCTTTGTTTTTATTCTCTTTTTGAAACAGGGTCTTATACATTTTTGCTCAGGCTGGCCTTGAACTCTCAACCCTCCTGCCTTGGCCTCTCATGTAACTGGGATTATAGCTGTTTACCAACATACCTGGTTTCTTATTTTTCAAATTCTTTATAAGTGCAATTGTCTCTTGAATTTCTCTTGATAAAGTTTCTGGCTTTTCACATTAACATTTGTAGTGATGACCAAGAGAAACAGTCCAAGAAGAAGCCCCGCCTCTTCTGTGACATTTGTGACTGCTTTGATCTCCACGACACCGAGGACTGCCCCACCCAGACACAAATATCTGAGGACCCTCCCCACTCGACGCACCACGGCAGCAGGAGTGAGGAGAGGCCATACTGTGAGATCTGTGAGATGTTCGGGCACTGGGCGACCAACTGCAACGATGACGAGACCTTCTGAGGGCCTCGGCGCAGAAGTGGGATTGCTCAGAGACACTGGCACCAAAGCAGCTTAACACCAGCATTGCGTGTGCAACTTCAGCAGAACTCCTGTTAGTTTGGTCAGCAAAGCTAAGAAAATATTTAGGTCTTCAACAAGTCACTTTTAATCTTCTTTTAAGTTAGAATAGTAAATAAATATGTAGTAGGTGAACTTTCACCTTTCATCTTGTTTTCTGAAGTTTTAAGTTTAAGATATTGCACCAGGTGCTGTTTCGTTTATTGTCCCTCATGGAACAAGCCCAACCCTTACCATACCTTATTTAAGAAACTTTAAATTATGCCGTTATTTTTCACATTTGCACTAAAAATTTCTGGGCTGCATTTTGTGTATTTAGATTTTTTTTTTTGGTGAAGCTTGACACTGGAACGAGTTGCAAAAAATGTACAGTTTAGTGTTTCCATAAGTATCAGCTGTCTGCACTCCCCGCCGTCAGCAGTGCCTTGTCGCCAGGCTTGACAGCACAGGTGTGATTCTGCGTCATGAAGCGGGTAACAGAGGGAAGCCCCCAACTGCTGTGGGACATTTTATAATATTTATGCTGCACCCACGTTCTCGCTGCGGTGTCTTCTCTATTGGGTTAATAATTTCAGCTTCTATATATTATATGTATATATTTTTTAAAGAAATCTATATTTTGGAAAAAAACACAGTGTGTTTTTCTTTTCAGATTTTTTTACCTTTATGAAAAAGCAAACACCTAAAATCATCGTCAGGGCTAGGCCAGAAATAGCATCATGTGGCTCCAAAGCTATTTTTCCTTTTTTTTTTTCCATTTTGTTTCTTTACCAAATAGAAATCGCTGGAAGAACTTTTTTCCAGTTAATTTTTTTTCCCCTTCTCTAGCATACTTCTCCAGCAGTGAATTAATTATAAAACACATAAATTAACCAACTACAGTCTTCCTTTACAAGTTTTTTTAAACTGTATTTTTACATGAATGTACGATGAGAAATTCAACATTGATTTTCTTATCACAGGAAAATAAAATGAAGGACCTCAACCCCCAGGACATGTTAGAGAGTAGTGGCAATGTCTTCTAAAAGGCATTAAGATGATGCACCGTCCATGCGACCTGTATAATAAGAACTTGTATAATTGTAGATATGCCTTTGATGGATTTCCTCCCCAAGATGATCAACTGTGTGTCTGACAAGTGGATATTAAACACATCTGTTACCAGTTAATAAGATCATAGGAATTGTTTCACAGACTTAACATTTAAAGCAGTATTAAAACCTGCACAAACAAGTGTTCTTGTAACTACTTTAATAAATGGTTATTTTGTTTTCAGTCATGGTAGTAAATTTGTGTTATTCTCAGGTTTGTCATCATGGCCCTAGAGATTCAAATCATAATTGCCTCCCTCTCTTCCTCTCCCTTCTTTTCCCTCCCTTCCCTCTCTTCCTCTTTTCTTCCCTGTCCCTCCCTACTTCTCTCCTTCCTTCCTGAACCCAGGTCCTCCTGCATGATAAACATTGGATTGCACCCCAACCTTCCAAATAGTCATTTCTTCTGTACTCTTGTTGATAACTTGTGAAAAAACAAAAATGGTGTGTCCTGAATGCCTGGAGTCGAGGAGGCCCTGCTGACCAGCTGTGGGGAGCAGCAGAGGGAACTTCCTGAGGGTCATGTATCTGGAGAATGGGTCTTGGGTGTATGGGAATGCAACTGAATCATTAAGAATTGTAAAAAATTGGGAAAAGATGAGGTATTTGTGGCTTTGATCTCCGTAAGACCTAACTCTTCAGATCATCTGCTGTGCATAAGGTCAGGGGTTTTTAAGAATTGGGGAGAGAAGGGCTGAGAAGGTGGCTCAGTGGCAGAGCACTTGCCCTGCATGCCTGAGGCCCTGGGTTCGATTCCTCAGCACCACATAAGCAAAAAGCAAAAAGCCGGAAGTGGCGCTGTGGCTCAAGTATTAGAGCACTAGCCTTGAGCTAAAGAGCTGAGGGACAGCGCCCAGGTCCAGAGTTCAGGCCCCACGACCAGACCAAAAAAAAAAAAAGAATTGGGGAGAGAAATGGCATGATGGCACATACTGGTGATCCCAGACAGTCAAGCAGGTCACTAGTTCAAGGACCAACTAGGATATAGAGTAAGACCCTCTCTCAAAAATAGTGAAGGGGGGGCTGGGAAGATGGCTCAGTGGTAGAGCGCTTGCCTTGCATGCATGAGGACCTGGGTTCGATTCCTCAGCACCACATAAGAAGAAAAAGCTGGAAGTGGTGCTGTGGCTCAAGTGGTAGAGTGCTAGCCTTGAGCTGAAGAGCTGAGGGACAGCGCCCAGGCCCAGAGTTCAGGCTCCACAACCGACAAAAAAAAAACTTCCTTTAAAAAAAAAAAAAATAGTGAAGAGGGGCTGGGAAGGTGGCTCAGTGGTAGAGTGCTTGCCTCACATGCATGAGGCCCTGGCTTCAATTCCTCAGCACCACATAAGCAGAAAAAGCTGGAAGTGGCACTGGGGCTCAAGTGGTAGAGTGCTTGCCTTGAGCTGAAAAGCTGAGGGGCAGCACCCACGTCAGGCCCCACAACCAACAACAGCAACCAAAAAACAAAAAAAAAGTGAAGGAACAGGGCGTGGGTGGCTGACGCCTGTAACCCTTGCTACTTAGAAGGCTGAGATCTGAGGATCATGGTTCAAAGCCAGCCAGGGCAGGAAAGTCCCTGAGACTCTTTATCTCCAATAAACCACTCAGAAAAGGGGAAGTGGCGCTGTGGCTCAAGTGGTAGAGCACTAGCCTTGAGCTGAAGAGCTGAGGGACAGCACTCAAGCCCCATGACCAACAAAAAAATTAGTGAAGGAGAAGACAAAAATTGAAACCTAAAATAATTCCTCTTCAAACTTGCAAAGGAAAAGTCCTAGTGGATTGTAGAACAGCATGCCACAGGGTCCCGGGCCAAGACTGTCCACCTCAAATATGACTTATTTTGTCTTACTCAGGAGGTGAAAGTGGAAGGATCTTAGTTTAAGAGATGCTTAGGCAAAAAGATGTTATCTCAAAGAACAACGGGGCCTAACCTGTAATCCCAGCTATGTGGGAGGAAAAGGTGGGAGACCAGGGTCCACAGCCAGCTGGGACTAAAGACAGAGTATCTGGAGAAAAAGTTAAATAAATCAAGAAAGGCTGGCTTAAGTCATAGAGTCTTTGTCTTACACAGTCCAAAGCTCTTGAGTTCAAAACCCAGTACTTAAAAAGGAAATTGGTATCAAAGCATTGTGACCCATTCATAAAAAAATCTGAGGTTGTTAGTGTTTTATCACACTACCTAACAAAAATACAAGTGGTAGCATTAACACTACCTTGCAGTTCTGTTTTTTGTTTTTTTGACTGGGATTTCCTTATCTTGCAGTTCTAAGGAACATCTTAGGCGAGCACTGTACCACTGAGCACTGTACCACTGAGCTATCCAGGTGGGGGAAGGGGAAGAAGGGGGGCTGTGTTTTGGAGATCTCACTATAATTTTCTCCTGCCTCCATTTTCCATGATCTGGCATGTGTCACAATGCCCAGCTTCTGTTAATCCATGAAACTGTAGAAACTGAAAACTGATAGGATTGGAGTGTGCATGTGTGCTGGTCCTGGGGCTTGAGCTCAGGGTCTGGGTGAGGTCCCCTAAGCTTTTGTGTTCAAGGCTAGTACTGTACCACTTGAGCCACGGTGCACTTTTGGCTTTTGGATGGATGGTTAGGGATAAGAGTCCTGGGCTGGGCACTGGTGGCTCACACCTGTAATCTTAGCTACTTAGGAGGCTGAGATCTGAGGATTGCAGGAAAGTTTGTGAGACTCATCTCACAGAAGCGAAGCTGTGGCCCAAAGTGGAAGGGCACTAGCTTTGAGGGGGGAAAAAAAAAGCTCAGGAACAGTGGCACACCCTGGGCTCAAGCCCCACCACCAACCCCAACCCCCCCCCCAAAAAAAAAACAAAACACCTCAGGGACTTTCCTGCTGGGACTGGCTTCTGAGACCCTCAGATCTGTTTCCTGAGTAGAGAGGGTTACAGATATGAGCCACTAGCACCTAGCAATTGCTGGAATATTTACAGAAATGATTACTAAAGCAATTGAGTGCTGGGCCTTTGAACACAGGCTTATTCACAGTTATTATTCAAGTAGGAATGTTTCTCTTTCCTTAATAGTAGTGCTCAACTTTGGTACTGACCTGAGGTGAATAATCCATACTGGGCCAGGTGCAGTGTCACATGCTTATCATCTCAGCACTTGGGAGGTTGGCAAAGGCTGACAACTGAGTCTGAGGCAAGCTGGGACACAGTGGAAACGGAGTTGAGAGCTAGGACATGAAAGGCTTTGCATGTGTGCTCTTATGTTAAACTCTGAACTGTGTCTGGCAGCCGGGCGCCGGTGGCTGACGCCTGTCGTCCTAGCTCCTCGGGAGGCTGAGATCTGAGGATCAGCGATCAAAGCCAGCCCGGGCAGTGAAATCCCTCTTGGACTCATCTCCAATTAACCACCAGAAAGTCGGCAGTGGAGCTGTGGCGGCTCAAAGTGGCAGAGCCCTGGCCTCGAGCAAAAGGGCGCAGGGACGGCGTCCAGGCCCCGAGTTCAAGCCCCGCGGCCGACAAGAAATAATAAATGCAATGCCTGTGCTTGACGGAACCGAGAGTCTGAGCAGCTTTCTCCTCCAGTGCCGTGAGCCGCGTCTCCACCAGCTTCTGGCAGCCTCTGCGGAACGTTCGCGCCCCGGCGTCGCCGTTCCCGGCCTCCGGTGGCGTCTTCAGCATCTTCAGGCTCTGGTCGGACCAGAGGCCCGCCCGGCCGCTCCCCGGGTTCCGGCGACGCAAGAGCTCGGGCGCGAGGAGCCTCCGACACGCGCAAACCCGACGCGGGACGCGCGGCCCTCGGCGCCCGAGGAAGGGGCGGGCCCCGGGACCCCGCCGATTCTAACTGGTCGGTCCGGCCGCCGGAAGCGAGTGTGCGTAAGCGGACGACCGCGGTCACGTGACAGGGAGTTCCGCGGGCAAGATGGCGGCGCACCTGTCCTATGGGCGAGTGAACCTGAACGTGCTGCGCGAGGCGGTGCGCCGCGAGCTGCGTGAATTTCTGGACAAGTGCGCGGGAAGCAAGGTGAGGGTCGGCGGGCAGCCGCGCCGCCCTCGCCGCCCCTGGCCCGACCCGGCCGCCTGGGTTCCGGGTGGACGAGGTCTCCCCGGGCGGCGGGCCTCGGGGCCTTGCACCTGCGCCCGGAACCGGCCGCCTCGCCGAGGCGGGAGGGCCGGGGCCCGGGTCGCGTGGCACCGCCGAGAGCCGCCGTGATGTCCCGCTGTCCCCCTCCCCGCCCCGCGGGTCAGCGCCGCGGGCCCGGCCGGGTCCGCTCGGCCCCGAGCGCTGCGCCCCGCCGCCCCGCCGCCCCGCCGCCCTCTGTCCGCTCGGGCTGCGGCGGAAGCCCCGTGCCGGGACTTCAGCGTGGCCACCTTCTGACACAGGGCCTCGCTGCGTAGCCCAGGCTGGCCTCGAGTTCATGATCCCCCTGCCTCTGCCGCACAGGTACCCCAAGTACAGGCTTGCACCAACCACCTACGGCCACTTCTTAAAATTCTTTTTAGGTCCGACATTGGTACTCGAACTCAATACCTGACACTTATGCTCATTGGCTAGCGCCCTACCAGCTGAGCCACGCTTCCAACCCCAGGTTTTTTTTTTAAGTATTATTACCCCCACCAGAGTAACCAGACGTACTCCTCTGAAGAGAAGTACTTTTCTCTGAAGAGAAAAATAGGTTGGAAGAACCTCAGGAACCCATCTTGGAGAGAACAGAACCCCAAAAGGTGGAGTGGTAGCAACCATTGAGGAGAGAAAGTAGGCTAAATCATAGGAGCCAAATTAAATTCAGCAAATGATGCTAGAATCTAAAACAACGTGGATTGTATCATGCTGGTATTCTAAGTGTAATACTATATTTTGTAAAATGTTTCACTAGGGGATGTAGGTACTCAGGAGTCTTTCTGTTGTTTCTTGGAGCTGAATAGTTATTTAAATTTCAGTTTTTTAAAGTGAGAAGTCAAGTTGGGATTTTTTGCAGTAGAAATATTTATAGGATCTGTGTGGCGGGGCACAGCTGTAATCCCAGCACTTGAGATGCTGAGGAAAGAGGATCTTGAGTTTGAGTTCAGCCTGAGTTATACATTGAGACTTGTCTCAAGTAAATTAATTAGGACTGGGAATGTGGCTTAGAGGTAGAATGCTTGCCTAACATGCATGAAACCCTGGGTTCAATTCCTCAGTCCTACATTCACAGAGCCAGAAGTGGTGCTATGGCTCAAGTGGTAGATTGC